CTGCAGGGCGGTCTGAGCGAAGCGACACCAACCCAGAGCTGCCGGGCTTTGGGGCTCTCCTTCCAGGAGGATTTGGGTTTCACCGCTGTTGTGTCATGGGCCGTGATACACAAAACGTCGCTCGGAAGTTGTCGGGTCCCTGTGCCGCAGCTTCATCCCCACCCCACGCCTTTAATGCCTTCAGACCAGTTCCAAAATTACTTGTTGGCGCTTCTGAGAGAGACCTTGTTACAAACTAACAAACCTTCGTACTAGGTCTGTAAATTTATCTGGCACTGGAAAATAAAATTCAAAGAGTAGTAACTGATAGACTAAACCACTGAAGTGGTAAACCTAGGGGATATTTTTAAAGAGAAAATAGGCTAAAACTAAATTTCTATTACACTTGCTGCAAAAACTATTGCAAAGCTAGTTAAATGTAATAATGCTTTTTTAATGTATAAAATGCTGGTTTAGTACTGCACTTTTACTTACTTTCAAAAAACCAGTTTGACTTGTAGTAACTTATTTTACTTGAATACAGTGATTTTGTAAGCTAAAACAGCTAACCATATTAAAGAGGTGAAAGTTAGGACTTTGTAGTGGATAAGGGATGCAATGCCCCATTAAAGCATCCCACCACCACTAATCTTAATGTCTGCTTGGGTACTTAATGCTGCTTGCTGTGTAATGCTGGTTCTTGCCTAGTGGGACACATTTGCTGATGAGCAACTACTGAACCAAGTAAATTAATCATCACTGTGAAGGTCTTACCTGACACTGTGACCAGTCTAAAAGTGGGATCATCATAAGATGCATGGCCTGAAGTGCTGCAGAGTGTCAGAGAAAGGGTAAAATGATCAGAACCTGAATACACATCTGCCTAGTATCGTGTAGTATGATTTTTGTATCAGTGGTAAGAAACAGAGTGAAGTAGAACCACCTCTGGGGTCTAGGAAGAGCAAAGAGTGTGTAGTTGTTGGGATTTCTTTTTCAGAAAATTCAGCAGAAGAAAGATGAAACAAGTTCACCTAGAGGCAGCAGCTGTTAGCTAGTAAAACTTTCAGGCCTAGAGCTGGGTGGCAGGGTTTGACAGCAAACTTTTCCCATTCAAGATGTCCAGGGTGTTGGCAGAGCTGTCAGTGCACCCTAAAGCTCCAAAACAAACTGCCTTTTCTTTTAGAAAGAACATACTGGCCGCCTTGTTATCGGAGACCACAGATCAACCTCTCACTTCAGGACAGGTCAGTTTATCCAACAGCTGATACAGAGTTGGAAATCTAACCCTTATTTAGGAACATTCCAGTGGTCTGAGCTTGGTAGATATGGCAGGGAGGGATTTCAGGTTTCATGGCTGGAGCTGAAGATGGGTCAGGCTGTGGAATTGTAGAAATTCCTTGTATCTGTTGAACCACTGACAAATGGTTTCTCTGACTGCACTCACTTGCCTCTTAAAGTCCAGTATATGCCAGGATATCCAAACTAAATTGTAGCCCTAAAGCAATGAGGTAAAAGCTAAAAAGGTCTGCAAGGTCATCTTAGCAATCAGCAATAACTGGATGTCATGTAGGACCATGGTAACTCCTTACCATGCTTTCTTATGAAGTCAAAGTACATGGCACCAAGCTGGGTTGGACTGCAGTGCCTGAGAGAGGCCTTGCTCAAGCCTTGTGGCATAATAGCTGTCACCATTCCAGAAAACTTTCCCTCATATTCCAGAAAGCTTTCCCTGATGTGCTCCACTGATCATTTTTCATGTTATGAAAAATTGTCTTTGGACCAAGCTAAGCCTGAGGATTGATCCCAGGTGCTGCTGCTGTTAGCTTACAGAGACTGAGAATCACTCCTTCATACCTGAATTTCTAGAAAGGAAGTGATGCTTCTCCTTGAAGTCATAAAGAATCAGTACTCATTTGTTAACAAACAGTTAGCAAAAAGTTAAAATGCTGGAGTTTTAACACTTCTTCATCCAACATGCAGTTCTTGTCCTTTTACAATAACATACAGCTCTAACTTCCAGATGAGGAAATGTGGATTTGCAATACAACCTTTCAGCTTCACAGAGATACAAATTAAAAGCTAGTGTTGTAGGCCTCCTAGGCAGAATTAGAGATTGCTACCTTTTCCAAGAACATAGGATCCTTAACTGTTTTAGACCATTTACTCAAGTAAATAAAGCAGCTGTAGAGGTAGCTCATGAAAATTAGTTTTTCTGCTAATTTCTAAGGATGGAAAAATGCAGAGCTGTAGTAACTGTTCCTTGTAATTCAGGATACATGAAACAGTTTCAGATACAGCTCCATAAACAAGAGTGGTGCTATTGTCCCAAGGCATGATGCTATATTTGAGGGATGATTTAATCAAAGTAATCCTGTGTTATGTAGTGAAGGTCACAAAATTTCTCCTTGCTGGGGCATGTTGCAGTATTGGCTGGAAGCACAGAGAACTCACACTGATTACATTTACCTTGTTCTGTAGAACGTAACACTGCAACTCTGGAATGCATCAGGTCTCAGGAATTTCCCAGCCCTCTTTGTATCAAAGCTATCTTGCTTGCACACTTGGTACTGTTGCTTTAGTCTGATGGTTTGTACCCAGTAATACTGGATCCTAGTTTAGAATGGTTACATTTAAACTTCTTGCCTTTGAAAATGTGACTTCCTGTAATTTGGTGTCTTTGTTAATTTGAATGAACCATAACTAAAGTACCCTGGACAATGCAGGGGAAGAAGACAAGAAAATGAATGAGGAGTTGGAGTCTCAGTACCAGCAGAGCATGGACAGCACCATGTCGGGGCGGAATCGGCGCCACTGCGGGCTTGGGTTCAGTGAGGTACTGACTTCATTTCCAGAATGATTTGGCTTTCACTTCACTAAGACAAGGTGGTACGGGGTTTAAAAATCCAAGCAGACTTCCATGGTTTGGGTTGAAGAACAGACTTCCTGCAGGCACTTGACTGCTGTTTGTGTGCACTGTGGTGGCCATTTAGGTGCTCATAAATGACTGGTAATTCTCGTTGTTCTGAGAAGTGATAAGATAGGCCTTAATGCTCCAGAGCAGTCAAAACTGATTAGGGCACAAAGTGACAAATATATTAAATCAGGGTGTTGCTGAGGAATACTTAAGTAGGCAGGATAACCATCTGTGTTGTTGTTAGCAGTATTGTTGGATTACTTTGGCATTCCTCATCCTGCAGTTCACTAAGTATCCTTTCAGAGACTTATGTTTCAGAGACTTATTTCACAAATGTGAAATCTTGATGGTCTAGCCTTTAGTTCCATTGTGTCACATTCTGTGACAAGTACTCCAGTGTCAGTACTGGAATTAATGAACTGATGTGATCTGGAACTGCAGACTCGTTGAATGGTGTCTTTAGGGTTTCTGCTGTAACTAAATAAACCTGTGAAACCATGAATCCATGCATGTCACAGTTGGCATGGTTAACCACTTCAGAGAATTGCTTTCTGTCTAGTAATTCGTGTCTTAAAGGCCTCTGTTTAGCAACATGGCCCATTTTAGTACCGAAAGGAAAGGAGCCATCCCACTGGGAAATTTTAAAGGCTGCAGTGGAGTTGCCAGGAAATAATATTTTATCTCTCTCATAATCTGAATTTACAGTTTCAGGAAGATGAACAAGAAGAGGAGGCAGCTGGACACTCCTCTGATGAGAGTTCAGAGGATTCTGAAAGTGGCTCTGATTCAGAGCAAGAGGAGTCTGCAGAGGAGCTGCAAGCTACTGAAAAACATGATGAAGCTGAGGTTCCAGAAAACAAAAAAGAAGCAAAAAGCAACTATAAAATGATGTTTGTGAAAGCCAGTGGTTCATAACTGCAGATGTAACAGCTTTGTATTTAAAGTACAGTAAGCCTTATTGTTACAGTGCAAAGTGGAGGACTGCTACAGCACAAATCTTTGTATTTTGATTTTAAAAAGACCCTGTTAGATGACAAAAAGTAGTGTTTGCTTTCTGTTGCCATGGATAACATTTTTATGGGCGCAGTGATATTACTGGTTTTTGTAAAGTGTATAAAATCCTGGATGGAGAAATAAATTTGTTTTGTTCCTGCCCAATCTTTACAATGTTATCTGAACTATCCCTTCCCTTATCCCATGCCAGATAAGGAAGCTTCATGTTAGTGGTTTATTCAGTTAGTACCCCAGTCTTGAATTTTTAACTATTAAGATTACATGTGAATTAAGTGTTGTTGCATTAGTTGTAAAATACCAATATCAGCGTTATTCTGTGATGTACTAGAGCTTTAAACAATGATTTTGTCTATAGATGCTAATGTTGGCAGGGCTGAGGAGAAACCGCTCACTTGTGTGACAGCATTGATCACTGTATCATCTGAAGTCCTACAGCAGTTGCATAGAGAATATGTTTTAGAAAAGCATAATACAACAGAAGGCTCTAATCGCTTCTTTGGCTTTCTAACGAGGGGAAGGAGCTGTAGTTGTTTCTACCTTTCAGTAGAAAAGAGTGATTTTTTTGAATTACTGGTTCCTGGCTAGAGCACTGAGCTGTTATTAAAAATAACACCTCCCAAAGAAACCAGTTTACTTTGAAAGAGAAAGTATACTTTGATAATGAAAAGGATATACAAATCATTTTAGCTTTTTTAAAATACAGAATAAAGAGTTAAGTATGCAAGCCCTTCTTCCTTTTCTCCCTGTACATGCATCACTTGGAGGTCTGGGTCAATTAGCACAAGGCTGTACCTGTCAAGTCAAGCTGATATGCCTAGAAAGCCAGGAGTTCAGCAACTCCTTCCAGCAAGAATTGAACACATGCATTCCTCTACAAACCCATTGCATTCACGTAATGAATAAAATATCAGAGCTTTTTAGACTTTTTTTCCTTTTAGTATGTCAGACAGATCACCTGCCTCTCCTGGCTGGGAGGACAGGACATCTGCCCTGTACCTCTAGTACCGCCACTGCAGTGTTCCGGGGACACTCCAGATGCTCCTGGACACTCCATTTCTGTGTACAATTCCTGATGTGCTGACAACATTTCCAAGCCAGTCGGCTGAAGGAAAGCAGCAGTTTGTACTATCATTGCCTAATTGAATGTAAACATTGCAGCATCAGCTATTGGGGGAGGACTTGGAATAAGTATGGAGAAAAATAAAAGTAATATTGTAAATAGAAACTGAGTGTAGATTTTGATTACCGTATTTTACTACATATGCATCTAATACAAGCTTTTCCACTCACTCAATTTTAAGAACAATGTTACAGCAGTCACTAACAGTCACTCATTTGTACCTGATTTGCATAGATTTCTTTCTTTTCCCAATACCGCAAGCATCTAATACATACATAGAGAAAAAATTGAGGTTGCTTGTGCATTGTGAAGACAGAAAACATCACCATGACTTGGGAAAGCTGCTCTATCTGCAGGAAAGAGAGTGAGATGGCTCCCTAAAAGATCAAATGATTACTTTCCTAATAGACCCATTCCAGGTTTTCCTGGGTAGACAATCAAGCTAAACTGGAACCAGCACTTGACTTAAAATCCTTTATCTGTGGCTGCCACTCGCCTCTCTGCCTTCCCTGTCCCAGCACCACTGCTGTCTGAGCTCTCACCAGCATGCAGAGATTCACACTGGGATCTGGAAAGACCCAGGAAAAGCAGATCCTGTGGCCAGCCCTGCACAGCTCTCTACTGACACAGACAATGAGGGGCTTTTCTACTCTGCCTCTTGCCTCCCTGATTAGTTTCAGCTATAAATAAATGTAACACACAAAGATAAAAAAACCCTGAAATTAAACTATTCAAAACTCTGACAAGGAAAAAAAAAAAATCAACAGAACTTCCATTCCCCAAAAGCAGAAGACCAAATATGAACATCTGATGAGGTTTGGTGTAACATCTGTGATGCTGACCCAAGACTCACCTGCTCAAAATAGGAAGAGTTCTACACAGTCTTGTCTGTTTCTCTCTAAAATTTATAAACATTCCAAGAACTTGCCTACTGATCTATGAAGCAACATCAGCTTCTCCCTATGCACCATGAAAGGCTGATATAACTCAGATTGTTCAGTGAATGTTTCAATTCAGGAGTCAGTTTTAGTAACATTTGTTACAACAGTATCAGCAGTAGTGGTATGGATAGGAACAGGATGGTTTCAGCTCACTGGAGACAGGGAACAGGAAAAATCAAAGTCCATGTCTCCAGTTGTCTGCCAGTTGACTCCAGTCAGCCTTTTGCTTTTTCAGCTTGTATGGAAGGAGCTCCCAGAGATGACAGCAGAACACACCGTAAGCAGACACTAACTAATAAGAAGGGCAACTGCATTTGTCTATTAAAACAAGACTTGTCACTGGAATTCCTCAAAGACCAGTTGATTTCCATCTCAATAGAAAGGCAGAAGTCTGCCTGCTATCCTACACCTCAGGGAAGGACTGAAGTTAGGCCACAGAGGGTTGTCACAGAACGACCATCACATCACATAAGTTTTCATCTTCTAAACCACACTGAAAATCTGCTTACACAAAGAGTAATACAGTGCATTCTCAGCACTTGGCTTCGGAAGCCTGAAAACACCCAAATGAGGTCAAATGTACTGGTGTGCCTGTTCCCCTTATATTTGCCCTGAAACCAGGAACCCTCTGGGTGAGCTCCATCACAGCCCCAGTGCCCACAGGTCTGGCAGTCACCACAGAGGGTACTTCTAAGCCAGGTAAAAAGGGATTCTCAACATCCTACAGGAATTTTCTGAGGCTAAGGAAACCAGATCTGTAAGTTGCCCTGCAGTTTCTTGCAACTGCTTTGCAATTTACTCTCCCTTTCTTCCTGAAGAGGAGGCTGACAACTTGATTCCTGAAAGCACAATTTATAGGCCAGCTTCAAAGCTATAGGTCCCTCTAAGGCTCTGGTTGGGGAATTCACATCAAAGACAACGTGCACATGTTGTTCTGATGCCAGAGAGGACGGTTGGTAGAAATCTCCGTGGATTTGCTACAGTCCCCAGTACAGGGATTAAATTATGCACTGAAGCTGCCTCTGTAAACTGCAGGAGACAAAGAGAATAAGTGGCAGTGCAATGTCTCATAATCAAAGCCTGGCACGGCTCTTTGCATCCGTCTCTTGGAAGCTGTCAGGGGATTAAGAGAAGGGACACATGTCAAGGTTCCCTCAACTGAAGGGACATAGCAGAAGTTAGTTTTGTTTGCTTTTAAGCCTGTCACCTCTGCACTTTTCCTGAGAAAAGTATCTTAGTGCAAGAGGTGTACCAGCATCATGGTGGGAGGTGAGTTTCCTTAGTTTTTGCACAGCACTAAAGGAGCGTAGTACTTGGTGATTTAACCCAAGCTGAGTTAATTTTGATGTGCAGGTGCAGAGGGAGCTTACACTTAAGAGTTTGTGCTTATCTATACAAACCCAGTACCATTTATGGTGGCCATATGAGGGTCCAGTGGAGAAAAATAAAAAGGGAAGACTGAAAGGAACTTTAGATGCTGTCTAGGAATACAGCACAGCAACTGCCAACAGGAAAGACAATTGTCCTGCTACCAAAATACTACCCTAAAGTCATCTTCGATTCTCCTTCATTGACTACTACTATCAACATCCTGCTCCCTTGTTTAACTCTTTCACAAGGTATTTTTTGTACTAGGACATGAAACATTCTCATTTGCCAGCTATTCCTTCTTACCTTCTCCACTAAAATTTAGGCCAAGTCCTTTCATTGAAGTATTTTGCTGCTGTCCAAGTCTGGGTATTTCAGCTCTTTGCACCTTTTTACTACATCTCACTTCCCACCATCAGGCTGTTCTCCACCCTCACCTTCAGCCTCTTACTTATGCCTTGCTTGCAGATAGATCTCTGCCATTATTTTCTACAATCTCACTATTCAACTTTGATTTCTAAATCTCTTCCTTCTTTTAGTGCTTCCTTATGCTACAGCTCCTGCTAAGAGGACTCAAGAAAACATCATTGTCCTTCAAGTTTACGTCTGGCAACAATTTCACCAACAGCTGCTCCAAAAATGCTAATTGTTAGTGTTTTCTTTGGAGGATGTTTTCCACTCTCTGTAAGACAACCAGGAGTACTGACAAGTAAATAACAAGTCAACAGTGCTCAAATGTGCATATACTTTCTATGTGTACTCACCTTTTACACATCTTCAATACCTTCTGGTTTTATTTACTTTATAATTAGCACTTGAAGTTATTCCATCATCTTCCAGCAATTTCATGGCAGCCTTTATAATTTTACCTCCCTCCTACATTTACCTGTAGTTTAACATTCCAAGCGTGGTTGTTGCACAGGATACCTCAACAGACTTGTATTAAAAATGCTCTTTAAAATTCCAGAGCTTTGAACTAAAGAAATATCTCAAGAAGTTTTCATGGAAAGTTCATTGCAGTTGGTTCAATTCAGCTCCAGTTAGATGCACCTTTTCAAATAATGGAAAAAAAAATGTAAAGGGGTCAGACCCAATCAATACAGTTGTTCAAACAGAATTTCAGGCACTGTGATGTGGGGATTTTTTTGTGCTCTTTCTTTGTACTGCTCCACTATGAAGAAAGGTTGCTTTTGCTAGTAGAGCAATAAAAATCTTAGCCTTTTGAATACAGCCAAATAACCAATGGGAATCTTTACCAGGTGTGGAAAATATAGCAATTTTTTCATGTTTTTCTTGTGCATGGCTTTGTTCTTTTTATAACCACACAGTACACGGGCACACAGACATACAGCACAAGCAAACACTTTAAAATACCCACAGACAGACATAAATCAGAGGGGCAACATCACATTCTGCCTTCTGTATCTTCTAAGTTTTGACACCAAGTAAATCTGGTCTTTCCTTCATAGAACATCCAGCAGTTAATTGCTAAGACACCTGGGAAATAGGTGGTTTCCTAGAGGGGAACAGATGCTGATATAGAATACATACACATATATTTCAAGATCTGGAAGTCAGACGAGTAAATGGTGCAGGGGGAAAAATAACCATGTAAAGCACTAGAACAGGCTGAGAGCTCTCTGCCTTCTCAAAACATCAACCCCTCTCTCCAAAGGTGTGGGGTACCCAAGACCACCCTGATGGGCTTTAAGAGCTTTTTATTTTTTTTTAAATAGCAGTACACAAGTTTAGTAGCATCCTTCAGTAGCTTTTCCTTCCACACCTAAGATATTTACCAGAAGATACTCTCTCAGTAGTTTTCTGACACTGATAAGAGAGCAGACAAGACAGAGGCAATAGGAGGCAGTTATGTTAATATTTTAATCTGTACATATACCATTTTCCAAACTGTTACATTTTATTTAAATTAATGCTTTCTTGAAAAATATTCATTTATGTTTTCAAAACTTTTTTATAAAGGCAAAAATAAATCATTATTTTGGCAAAAGGTTTTGAAGTTGATACTGGCAGTATTGAGGTAAAATAGATTGCATTAGCTAAATATATACTTTTAAGAATATTTGAGTATAGTGTTAATATAATATGATTTGTCTCAAAGTCTGCAACACAAAGGTCAATTCCAAGGGGCTTTTAGTGACTACTTGAATACAGAGAATAAACAAGTTAGTGGTTTCACAAAATACTGCATAAGTATTTCTCAGCTTTCTCATCCAGAGCTGAACTCAGCTACTAATCATGTAACATTGGGAAGTTTTTGTATGTCTTGCATTCAATGCATACACAGGGATTTTTGAAGTATAGTTGCAGAAATTCATTTAATCTTATTTTCTCCTTATTTTAACCACCTCACCCTTTGCCCTTTGTGTAAGTACAGCAAAGAACTTCAAAGTTTGGCAAAGATAAGCACCAAGTGAACATATATATGAAATTAGCAGGTGCCATATTCCATTAGTTTTGCTGTTTCCAGGATAAATACTAGTCAGTATTACATCACATTGTAACATCTATTGAAGAAAAAAATCAGAAGAAAAATATGTATTTACTAGCCAAATTACACATAATAATTTTTTTATTGCTTACTTCACAAATTTTAATTAAAAATCATCTTCTTTCACATCTCAACTTTCAAAAAAATAAAATTTGTTAGCTGTTTGTTATTGAGGGGGCAGCACTACTGTCAAGGGTAACATCACAAACTGTGGATTGATACCAACCAGCAAGTTAATCATCTGGGATAAAAAAAAAAAAAAAAAAAAAAAAAAAAAAAAAAAAAAAAAAAAAGGGGAGATAAAACTGGCTTTTGTTATGGCTTTTTTGGGACATTTCAGCTATACAGTGGTTACTAATATTTAGGAATTCAAGCTAACAGTTCTTGCAATGGCTTATTTAATGGGCAAAAGGGTGGTGATTAACTCTACAAATATATTCAATCTGAAACACCCTTTCACCAAACCTGCCACCCATGTTAGCTCTACCCATACCCTATGAATGTTCCTTCTAGGTTTGTTTGAATTTGAAGGGGTTTTTTTTCACAAAACTTTACAGTGTACATCTGAGCCTGAGGGGGAAGTAACAGCATCTTTTAGTATCCATGCAAGAAGTGTCTTTTAAAATTAATTCAGCCCTTGATTTAAAAAAAAAAAAAATCTAAAAGACATTGTTCTAAAAATACATTGTCAGTGTTTTACAGTTTATTAAAAGTGCCGTTTATTCGTATAAAAAGTGTGAACTAAACTGAAGTAAATAAAAAATGATCTGCAGTTCTCTTCATTTTTATAGAAAATCCCCCTATCATTCTCTGAATGTCTTTCCAGAAGGTGTCATCAGCCAACAAGTATCTCCATAGAAACCTGGAAAAGAATCTCCTCTGTCTTCCATGTGGTGTCGCAAAGTGGGATTTGCCTCGAGTCTCACATCAGTGTTCACTTACTGCTTTGGCTGGCATGAAGGAAAATAAAACATGGTTAAATATTGAAGGGAGTCAACCAATGCCAAGCAGTAAGAAATTGCTGGAAACATTTTTTTTTAAGCCCTTTGCAGTTTGACAAAAGGAAAAATTCATACAGACATGTTAAGCAAACAATTATCTCATGATGCTACTGATGCTCAAGCTCCTGTGTTCTCAGCACATCACAACTACTTTCTTTTTCTGAAGAAAACTTAACTTTATATAAATATGTATCTGTAACTGTCTATGTGTATATATTTGTACAGACATGTGCTAGACATTTTTTTAAGTCAGTTTGGAATCACAGAATTCCAAACTGAAGGATACTGAAGAAACTGAAGGGTAGGAAGGGACCTCTGAAGGTCAGCCCAGCCCTTTGCTCGAGTCTCTGGCACCGTACAATTATTCGAGTTACTCAAGCAACCCTCTTTACTGCTTTATCTCTGCTTTATCTTATCTTCTTGTTCAATTTCAGGCAATGAAATTAAGCCAAAGGAAATCTCAAAGGTAAAAATAATATAAAAGGAAAATATGGATGCATAGCAAGTGTCTTAACTAGGGGCACACTTAGCAGTTGCATACAATATTTACAGCTTTTCTTACTTCCACTTTCAAACAGGGAAAATGCAGCAAATCCTACTGAGAAGAGATACAAATACACGTTTCTTTGTAAGGACAACAAAATTATCACAATTTTAATACTTGAAGTAGCAAAATCACCTAACTAGAGACAAGAGCAATCTTCTGTTAACATGATCCAATGAAAGGCATGATCAAAGTCAAAGACAACATTGCAGAATTAAAGGGCCAAATTTTCAGCTCACCTTAGCTAAGACCCTGATGCCAGCTCATGTGTAGGATACCAGCCCACAAAGGAAGCCCCTGCTTGTACAAGGGCGCACTTTGGATTCTCTCTTTGTATGCCCTAAGCAGCCACAAGGCTGCTGAAAACCTGGCCCCCTGTTACCCAGAGCACAGATGTCTCCTCCCTTCACCACAGCAGTACTCAGGAAGCATCTCACCTGCACAGCAACAGCACTGAAGACTTCATCAGCCCACGTGTAAGCTCATTAGAAGCAATATTTACAAGAATAAAAGGTTTCTGGAAAAGTAGCTGCATGCTTTCATACAGATGTAATTTTGGTTTAGTAAAGAAGTTAAAATTTAGCAAGCCACAGCACAGGCACGATGGCAAATCAGACATGCCGAGAGCAGTTAGTTCTTACTTGGAAGGTGTTTAAACAAATGTGTAGTGAAATCCATTGCTTAAGGGGGAGTGAGGTGGCTGTGGTACAGAAGGTGAGGGTGCTTTGGGTGGATAGGTCAACTGCTGAGCTAGAAGGGATCACACACAGGAATTAGGCTGAACAATCAAACATTCACATCATAAATGGCATCACCTTAATTTTCTACCACATGAATAGGAAACCTGATTTGCAATGAATGAGGTGCTACACTATTTCAGTCACATGGTAAACAACATATCTACCTGCTGCTCTTTTCTACTCCTTGCATAAATTAAACAAATAAAGATTCCTATTTGGATGAGAATATGGACAACCAATCTTAAGATGAAATTTCACTGGAACATTATGAAGGCACACAACACTGACATAAACTCATCAGCCCTGCTTTTAAAGCTTTTGAAGCTCAGGACCAGCACCTGTATTTGCTAATTTGACTTCATTGAGGCTGTACAGGTTTTCAACATTTCCTTTGTTATATGCCAGTGGGCAGAAACCAAAATAATATACAGAAAAATAAAGTTTACAAAATTATATATACATATAACATTTTTCTTAGTGCAGTGCATGATACAGTAAATACATTTACAGCTTATTTTCAGCTTGAAAATACAGGATAAAGAATACAATGATTAAAATTATTCTTGTTTATAAACCAGAGTAATGGTATAGTATTAGAAGACAATAATCATAAAATTGGAGAAAGTGAAACTTGATCTAAAATTCTGCTTTTACATTTTGGAAGGCCAAAACATGCAACATAGGAAACAACTTCTTAATACTCTTGTATTCGACTTTAATCTTCCAGATTTTATGCATGATTTCCACTCAAAAGGTTAATTTCGTATTAGGAACAGAGGAACGTCTAAAATGTTATGTTTAGATATATGTACAACTTTTCTTAAAAGTATTTCTATTAGCAAAATGGGCAAAGTTTAGCTTCACAGTCTTTTTCATAAACAAATCTTTGTAAAACAATCCACATAATTAGTTTGGGATTTTTACATGTGGTTTGCTTCATCATCAAGGAGCAAACAACAATCCATACTTAAAAAATCAAACTACAAAAATAAGAATGTGATGGAATCTGTAACATGAGACCAAATGAGAATGTAAAATCAGCTGTGTTAAGTGTCAAATGCCTTGCTTTTAAAATAGGCCATAACTAAAAAAACCTGAACTCTTTTTTTGTAGATTTTCTATTAAAACCAAACCACTCTGGCGTTTTTTTTGTTGTTTTTTGGGTTTTTTTTATAATACCATGAAAGGTATTTAAAAGGCTTTTAAAGGAATAAGAAATAAAGGAATAAGAAATCAAAGTAAGGCATGTTTCAAGAAGTGAGTTTTTGAGGTACAAGTGTGGCAACAAAATCTGTGCACAAACAAACATTTGGAATTCCTTAAAAACCTTAGTCTTTGGCTACCATGTTAGGGTTTCTTTAAATGTCTGAAAGACAAAAGAGGTAGCTGCTATACTTCACAAAGAAAATTAAACTTAAACTTATCTCACAACTGACTGCAGATTTTCTGAAGCAACATTTAAACACATTTCGGTGCCAATACACATTTTAATTCCCTCCTTGAGGAAAACTAAAGAATTAAGAAGATTTTTTTGGTTACAGATATCTAAAAAAAATTGATGGATCACACTTTTGAGACAATTAAATATAAACATTAACATATATAAATAAAAAATCCATTGTAATGAAACGTATTCTCTATTTACTACACAACATTTTAAAAAATCAAACCTATTTCAGTAGTGTACAGTTGCTACAAGTTCAGGCACACCCAGGAGTAACTTAACTGGCCCCAAGAAGACCTCTGAGTAAGGCAGGCACTCTGCTCTTGTACTGACACAGAGGAATAATTTCAAGTACTGGTTGTGTTCATTCCCAGATGTGTGACCTTTTCTCAGCAGAAGCAAGAACTCAAGTGGCAAAATGCTCCACTGGCTCATACATCATGAAAAGAATTCCCATTCCCATAACCAAGGATTGGAGTACCTGTTACAACGTGCTGGTCACTGGAACTGGGACTATGGAGAAGTCCTGTTGAAAAACCAATGGCCTGAAGGGCCGCAAGGTTATCCCTGAAATGCTTCCATGATTTTACAATTCTGTTCTTCTGTTTGTTTTGTTTAGCTTTATAATGTCTGGCTTCCTCAGCGAACCATTTTATCCCTGCCAGTCAGTTAAATTACCCACAGAAACTTTCTGAAGTCCCAAGATTCCTATCTTGGAAATGTATTCCACCCCCTCAAAATGCCATTCCCCTCAGGTTCAGCTGGCATTGCATCCCTGAGTGTACAGCCACATTCAATCAACACTGTTACTGCAAATGCATGTTACGCATTCCGATATTGGAATAATCTGTCTTTAATGGGAAGGTCTTAAGGGCTGCTGTGGCAAGAGCCATAAGTTTAAACTGACAACTTTGGATGAGAAATGTGCGTATTTTTTCTCCATCATAGTTGAAGCTCCCATTATTTCCATTCTCCACTGGAACAGTGAATGGCACCAGTTATAAATGGCCAGTCAGACACTTGGGGAAATCGCTGCTGCATGGATTACTGTGTGATACAAATCTCTTGACATTTCTTACTTATTTCAACTATAAAGCAATCAAGAGTGAAATGATCACTTTTAGCAACATATTGCAAAGGATCTATTAATTTCCAGGCATCAAACAGAATTCCTGCACAGCTGTCTTGCTCTGACCTCTCATCCTGGTCACCAGACAGAAACATGCCAATCCCTATTTTACAAGGTCTTTTGCAACCTGTTGTCACACAGCTCAAGCTGTAAATGATTGTAGCCTCATCTCAATCACTCAACCAGGGAATTTTTCTATTAAAAAAAAAAGAATTTAAATCCTATTTTTTGATTTTTTTATTTAAGTCACAGATCAATTTACTTTTAAAAAATGAATATATAAATATTTTATTTAATGTAATTTCAGAGAATTAAAATGCTAATTTTTTTAGCAGTATCAGTTAGAGCAAGTTTCCAAGTTTTGAACTTATTGATCATACTATTATGGCCCCTCTATCCTGTCCACTGGAGGCCAAATACTCGGTGTAAATCATTAGCCCCTCTCCATTTGTTACCTACACACACTTTTCACTATTTTGAATATGAATGACTAAAACTTTCTCTTATGCCAGGAGTTCAGCAACAACCCCACACAACTTGAGAAGCTGGTAAGGAATAGCTGTTATTTTGTAAATAACTAAGCATTACCTGCTACCTCCTTGCTCCTCTGAGAGGCTTCAGAAGCCAGAGCATATGAAATGGTAATGATGCGCTCCTGCTCCTGCAGCTGTGAATCTAAATCAATCGAGTTGTGTTTGTCCTGGGCAACAGTAGGCTGCAGATTGTGCATACTGGGGGGAAAGCAAAAAACAACATTAACATTTGCAAACATAAAATCCACCATGCAGATAAGAACAAGCTTGGATTCAGACAGCAGTTTTCAGATCTCATCTATCAAGCTCTGTATTTTATTGTGGTTCTTTAAAATAGGGTTGATGTTGTATGCAAATGCCTACGGCACACAAGGAAAAATGACACAGCCACCACACATTCAGTCACAATTTCTGCATAGCCTTAAGAACGTCTGAAAGTCCTTTTTTAGAAACATGCTTAATGTGCTTAAATGAAAGCACTACGAAACTGCCATGTATTTGAAGCTGTTAGTAAAATTCCTTGCTAATGCTCAGAGGAAAAGGAAAAACCTGGTGGTCCTCAGGCTGCACCAAATCCAAAGAGAGAGCAGGTACCTGACACATGAAATTCTGGAAAGTAAATATTTCAGCTGACTCTGTGTCAGCTGTAACTAGCCAAAAGTGTTGTTTCACAACTCCAGCTCTGGCCACAACAGAATCTTGCTCTCAAGCTGACTTTTTTTCTGCCTTTGGCCAGATTTGTTCTTTTCCTTCCTCCTCACACTCATCTACAAGTTGTTTGGGAAGGACTCACTACTGCTTTAGGACTCTCTAAACAAGAAAATGGACATACACAAAATGCATCACTATGTCTTCTGCCTTGCTTTAAAAAGCAGCTCTAAGTATACCACATAAATTCTGAGTGCATTTTCTCAAAGCTACAAGTTACATTCAGGTAACAGAAATAAAGATTGTTGTATGATGTTACTTCTCAGTGAGCCCCTGGTTAAGATTTGGGAAAAACCCTAAAACCTAACCTTGATTTAGTAAGAATATTCTTTATCTTTTCTGCTTTACGCTGCCTTGCTGCCAGTTCTTCTGTAGAAAGAGGCTCTTCTGGCTCCAGTTCAACATAACGTTCTGGAATTACAACCTTCTCAGGTTTTGACAACTGTAGAAAGAAAGCAAGCATCGAGTTCTCAATAACAAAGACTTAAAAGAAATTGAGACAAATCCTCCTCAATGGGAGAACACAGTGAAAAGAATAAAGCACAGATTTTCACAGTCAGTACATGTACCTGATGCCAAACACTTCTCCTGGATATCTAGCTGATGCCCTTTCGACAGTGTTCCCTCTGATTCTTTTTACTTCAGAAGACAGATTGAACAAATATTTAAAGGGATAACAAGAAATCAGAATCAACAGAAAACCTTTCTTCAGCTCAGGCTTAGAGCCCAAAGTAGGACACTGCCTAAAGCTCTTACAGTAGAAAGAAGCAACCAGTATGAGACTGACTGGACAACCTGAGATATCCGTGTCATGACTTTTGTGTCATGTCAGCCAGAACTTCCTGCATCTGAAAGGAAACATCACTGAAGGTGTTAACCTAGGGTGTCATTCTTTTGAGACTGGATAATCTTCTGTGAGCAGCAGAGGGAAAAAAGGCAAACAGAAATACACTACACTGTGAGATTTGTTACAATACAGTGCATAAATTAATTCTGTAGACTGAAAATTTTAATACGATTGCACAAAAGCTAGAAACAATTTTTTGCTAGGATAAATTACTTCATTGGAAATTTTCCCTCCATCCAATGAAAATACAGTTTACAAACTTTGAAAATTAATTCTTATCATACAGAAAAGACTGCTTTTGGAAACAAAAATAGAGGATGTGTGAATAAAAGGAAATCAAGTAAAGGAAAACTACTTTTTTCCCTTCTTATCAGAATTCTGTTAAAACACTCATGAGGCAATGAGTTTTCAAAATTTAAAGTTTTCAATTAAAATAATCCTAAACTTTTTCACCATTGACCTTAGCTCACACTCATTCAATGGATTATGGAAAGTGGCCTGACCTAACCCCCAGTACTTAGGCTGGTAATTCACAGGAAATCTCATGCCAAGAGCACACACTGGCACACTCAACCATATTAAAGTCACAGCCTCAGCTTTTTATACTTCCTTCTCAGGAAGCCAATGCTTCCAGAAAAATCCTCATTTTTCTACTACATTTCCCTACTTTTGAATCCAGTTCCTCTCTGGAGGTCTAGATATAGACATACGTACACTTTTTAAAAATGCATATCTCTGTCTCCATAATGCATCTAACCTACATTAGCTCATCCTATCACTTCCTGAATAACAAACCCATTAATCATCACAACAGCAGATAGATTTGCTTAAAGATACAAATGAGTATATTTCCTTCTGAGGCACTCCAACACAGACATGCCTGCCAGGTGAACAGAATGGCCACATGAAATGGAAAAGGACAAGGCCAGGCTGGATGGAGCTCTGGTTCAGTGGAAGGTATCCCTGCCCATGGCAGAGGGTTGGAATTAGATATCTTTAAGGTCCCTTCCAGCAAAAATCTATGATTATAACCTGGTAAACTGAGAAAGAAGCTTTACACTCAGAGTTTCAGACCTGCTTCAGTTAGTCTGAAGCGCGACAGAAATGCCTATGAGCAAAAATGTCTCCTATCCAAGGCTTAAAGGAAGTGCAAAGTGATACCCATAGCCCCAGAGGCTTTCTGGAAAACAAAAATTAATAGCAGAGTGCAACAAGGAAAGGCAGGAGAACAGAAGTTATTTTCTGTTTCTGAAGTTTACAGAAGCACTGTATTTTCTGTAAAAATTATACAAATATTAACTGAAACATTTGTTCATAGAATTCAACAGATAACAACTCACATAGTAAACCATTTACAAATATCTCTGTCTGAAATGATACTCTGCCAACAGCTTCCAGAAGAGTACAGGCATTTACTAATCTTATTATCATTAATAATTTTCCTAGTTTGCCATCTACCATGGCATTTTAACACAGCACAAGGTACCCCCTGAAGCCTTTCCACTTGCTGTGTTCCCTCCTTCCCACCAGATGGCTCAATCGCATTTCAAACTGACATCTCCTCGGTTACTCGAGCTGAGGAAAGACCTCGTGCCCAGAACACTGATCAAGTCATTCCAAAAGCTGACAGAAACATGTTTTCTGTCCAAGCCCAAATAAAGCTGTGCTTCCTCTTCTCTATCATCATTTGCCAGTCTACATGAAAAGTAGTAAGGTAGCTCTGGGGAACTAACTTTTCCTTCATTCCTGTTGTCTTCTCGTCTTCCTTTTTTTTCCAATTTATAGAATTTTCCCTAACTTAATCACTCCTTCCTTTATAAAACCTGAGATATATAAAAGAAATTTCAAAGAATAGAGCAAATTTTTCAATTTCTTCTTTCCACTAAAACACAATACAAAAACAAACCTTCCAAAGGTACCAGGTCGTAAATTTTCAGTACTCAAAATACTCCTTTTAGTTCAAACTTCCAGGTAACTTTCTAAAGAAAAGATGAGAATTCACTGCCTAAAGCTTAGAAAGGTTAATATTTTGGGACAGAGAATAGGAGGCAAAAGATTTTGAGTGTTACCTCTCTGCTGATATCTAAATCATAGTCTTGAGGCTCCAAGTCTGTCTCTGTCACTGCTACTGGCTGAACTTTTAACCATTCATTTTCATCCTTGTCTTCTCCACGAATTGCCCTCTCAAGTAACTGCAAATCAAATTCTTGCTCTCGTTTCCACTGGTAATAGATACAAAACAATTAACAGCATTCAACCACCATACTGTCAAAGTCACCATATAGCAATGTACATTACTATTGCTGCAAATGCTACACTGCTGAAAGAATCAGTGGGGCAAACCCCGAAAGTGACAACGGAAAGAAAAGAAAACTGCATTTCCTGCATTTCTTTCCCATATGGGTGGGAATTTTGATGTCTAGCTCTGCTGTGAGGAATTCAGAGTATTATTTAATTTTACATGTTTAGCAGTATTAGATTCTAAGAAATTTATTAATCTCAATTTTACATTTGTTGATTATCACGGAACCAGCTACACATGGAACACCACCTTTGGAAGCATAGGTGTCACTACTAGCAAGCCTACAGACTGACAGAGTAGTTCTTGGCATTGTAAAGAGGCAGTCTGTGTGGTTCTGAGTCACTACACAGTGCAGGTTGAGAATCACAACTTGAAAATTTTATGTATCTTTTTAGAATAATACTCACTGTTTAAAGCTGATAATATTTTGTGTATTAGCATTAACTTGTGTTGAATTTAAAAAAAATAATTTTTTAATTTAAGACTTTGAAGTTCTTCAGACTTTACTAAAAACAGAGTCTAGCTACCTCTAAAAGTCTTCCACACAGTCTTTAAAAGGTAAATATTTAGCAGTAAAAATCAGAACTATTAAATATTTATTGATCTTTAAATTCAGCATATTTAAACTAAGCTGCAAAATGTAGAGTACCTAAAATCACTGCACACTTGTCCCTTAACAATTAGACACAACACAGTTACATATAAACTCTCATTAAGGACACTACCAATACCTTTTTTTTCAAAAAATTAAGTTCAGATGTAGCATCATTCTGTACAGTAGATCTGAGCAACTTTACCATACATGGTATTAAAAGCAATAGGAAAAAGAAGGGACGAAAACAACAACAGCGAGATTATCTCCTCAAGGTTTTGAGGGAATCACTAAGAAAATGTGCCTATTTTATTTTTCTTAAAAATATCTCCAGTGTTTCTGGTATAAATCTTTGGCTTGTTTTGGATGAAGTTTGAACTGCATGTGAAGTCCTTAGAATTCATTATGTCACTTGCATTAATGAATCTAATTGAAACCTATTCATGCACAAGCTCTCAGTATTCACTCAGAAGATAAGTATCTTCCATGTATATTAAAAAGTAGGTAAAAGGCAATTATATCTCAAAAAATTAAAACCTTACAGAATTCAACAGAGAAAAGAACATTTTCTCATATGAGTACTCCAAACTCATCCTTCTACTCATATTCGAACCAGGCCTGATTGATATAGTATATTTTAAATACACAGTATCAATTTAAAGATGTTGTTATATATTGGGTAAGAAAAACATCAAACCATTCTTACGAAGCAGCACTTTTATTGGCTTTGATGTTGCAACTCTTACATTAAAAAGGCATTGTATATAACAAATGAATTCATGAACTGTGATCAATACTTAAAATGCCATCCTACACTTGAGAGCTGACCAATTAAAAATTAGAATTACACATACAATGTATGTTTAAAGCAAATGTTACACACTGAGCAGCACTTCAATTATACATTTAACTGTTTGCCATTGTGGCTTCTAAATAATTGTAATGCTGTAAGTAATTGTGCTATCAAACATGCTTTTGCATATCAAAGCCCTATAGATACAAGAGATGATCTCTACAAAACACTACTAGGGCTGAAAAACTGTATTTTAATTCTTTACAGCAAGAAAAAGACCAAGATGGCACCCAAATTTATAAATAAAGTGTTTGCCACAAATGTTAATAACGAGTGTTATGAAAACGTTTCAATTCAACTTGTGTATGTTACGTGAGTCAGAAAACATAAGAAGCTCAGATTTATTTCTTCCAATTAAAGTATGAAAGTAACAGTGGTACTATCATACTACAATTCCCAAACATTATGCACTGTCTTTAAAAAATGTGTGATTGCAAAACAGAAGACAAAACAGATGAATGTCTCCAAGCAGTGCACTCGTATTTACTGGGAAAGTAAATACAAATAACTGGCTGCAAATTAGTGCTAGAGAACAGTGGGAATGAAAAGCTGAGTATTATAAGGTTTTTTAATGTCAGCAATTGACACACATGTACTAAATGCAATTAAGCCTGGTAAAAATTGAGTAGTCCAGTTAGAAATTTTAAAGTAACTACAAAATTCTGCAAATTAAAAAGAAGCAAACAAGGAAAAAAAAATTAAAAAAAAGGCATTAGGTATGATGAGTGACAAATTTAAAAGCAAGAGATCTTGTGCAATGAATTAGGTAAAACAATATGATCATTCTAAAGCTCTAGTGGACCAAACAAAAAATAAATTAAAAGACCATAGCAGAAGTGCAATTACAGTACAATCCTGGTTTAGCACCAAGTGACCAACTGGGTAACTTCACCAATTAGAATTGCTTTGGTTAGTATCCAAAATGTATCATTATAAACTGCACAGCATTTACTCTCAGAAAGCAACAAAAATACTTTTCTTCAGCACCCTAAATTTGAGCCTTATTAGAATATTCTACATTTTGAGATTTAAAGAAGAATTTGTATAAATTGAAATAGATTAGCTCTCACATACATTCCTAATCAGCATGATTAGATTTTAAAACCAATTATCCAGTTATCATCTTTTTTAAAAAGAACAAACATCTCCTTGGCCTGATATTACCACTGACTATCTTGCAGGCTAATTTATGAATTAAAAGGAAAAAATACCCATGAGAAAGAACATTCTAAAAGGCCCATTCCCTTATGAAGCAGTTTTAAAACTGTACAAGCTTCTGACACTTTCTAAATACAATTCCAAAGGAATTTCCAAGGAAAAAAAAATCATGGCTCTGAAATCACCCCAATATACTGGCATCTCCTCTCATCACTAACCTCTGACCAACTTACCTGCTGAACCTGCTACATTTACCTTAACTACAAGGAAAAAATATCATCTATTCCTCACACTCTGAACTCATTTGATACCACAGAACACTAATTTAATTGGACAAGAAGCATCACACACGCTCAAGTGAAAGTGCTTGCCAGGGGAAAAAAAAAAAGAATAAATCCAAAGGTATTTTTAGTTTAGTCCTTTTAAGGCATATCTAACATACTGAGCCTACGTCTGCAGACACGGGCCTGATGAAAGACCGAGATGAAACAGGCTGCCTTTCTCCTTGGCTAAGAGTTCTCTTGCGTTCCCGCACTAATGCCTTCTGATGTCTCTTCATTCTTTCTAGCTGCTCCTCTGCACTCATCTTGCCTCTTTGGTGGTCTCCAGAGTATAAACGTTCCAAGGCACTCTTTGGTCTCTCCTGGAGAAGTCACAAGTCACACAAAACACATGCTGTAATTAATACTTTATAAGAAGTATACAAAAAAAAAAATTAACTCCTTCTCCTGTATCATTACTAGATTTTATTCTATTAACTTTGCATTTCTTTGCATATTTCAACTCTGTATTTCCTTTTAGTAGTGCTGATTTTTGGTTCTAAACCTTGTTTTATAAATCTTGAAATACAGTAAGTTGTTTGCCTGTTTTCCAGTTCATTTACAAAAGTGAAAAACTGGAAACTTTGTTAGATCACAGCTCTTGGTCCTCTCCCAGGCTACTGCAATCCCACTTCCTGCTACACAAACTATACTCTGGGCTTAACTATTTCAAGCAGTTCACACATTTGCCTTCAGAAGTTTATTTAAAACTTACCTTGGACCTATCCCTTCGAAGTGTTGCAAATGATGAAATGGTAGATGACTGGTGCAATCTGGAAGTTGATCCAGACAAACCTTTATAAGGAAAAAGAGAATGCCTTAAAATCAAATGACAGACAAAATAAGACAAGTATCAGTTAGTTGTGTTTTTTTTTATTATACTGTTGCTGTGGCACTCTGGTCACTATCTGAGCATACATTCTGCAATTCAGAAGATAAGAGGCATGAAATTTCATTTCTGCCAAACAGTGTATTTCAGGTCACTACTAATCGAAATTCAGAAAATTTATAATAATTTAGAATCTTACATTAAATGAGGGATAGGTTGAACTCAGCTGTACAAGAGTAGATAGACTGTACAAATAATCACATCTACTAAGAAAATAAATCCTAAACACTCACAGTTAGAAATGAAGAAATAAAGAAGTGAACAGCTAAGAAATTATTTGCTTTTGGCTCAAATATCATCTCTATCCTCATCTCCAAACAGTTACAGGACCATAGCACAGTGGAGATGGAGTGTCAATGTAATATAATGCAATGTCTGGGGCACTATATTCATATACTTTATCAGTTACACTTTAATGGCAATATAGGTGTTTTTAAAATACTTGGAGTTTGCAAAAGATAGCACAGAAATTGTCAGGAAAAGTAACTCTGAATGTAGAGACATTCTAATAGCCAATTCCATTATTTGCCATGGGCTTTTTAAGCCTTATATATTAAGTTACTTTGCCAAAGGCTGATTGATTGTAATGGTACCATTAAAATGCACACAATCTTTAAACTTCCACTGGATAGTTAATCTAAAAACAGTGATCTGGTGATAAAGATCATCTCCAGGAAATCCTACAAGAGAAAAGCTCCTATATAGACAACAGTATTGTTAAAGATCAACTCCATAAATTCCTAGCTTACCACGGGTAGGTAATGTCTGGTATCCACTGTCAGGGCTTATTAAAACGCTGGAAGGGTGGCTGAGGTCACCCCCTATCATTGCTAGTTCTGGTTCACTCATGTATGAACGCAGTTCCACCTATACAGAAAAATACTCATCAGCTCAAGTGAAATCACAAGACAGCAAGTTTTAATAATGCTAAAACAAATCCTAAAGCTTTGTTTCTGGATTGCTGCATCTCTCTCTGCCATTATTATATGCCATAGATTATTATTATTATATCATTATTATCTCTCTGCCATTCTATATCATGATTACTTTTTTAAAGGTCCATATATTTTTTTTCAACAACAATAATGTATTTTATTCAAGGTTCCCATATCTTTAAAGTGTGAGTGCACAGGTTTGTGAGTGCTCACCCTGTAATCTCCATTTACATACTGGCCGAGCTCTCTGTCTCTCTTTCTCTCATCTGACTGACGTTTCAGGCCACGCACTGAGGTGTGTCTGATGACAGTGGCTTCTCTTGGGAGGGGTGGGACAGCTGGTGGCTGATCCTCAGGACTGTACAGCTGAGGGAGAGGAGGTCTGGGCGGTGCTTCATCTTCCTGGGAACAGGAAATCACAGGGATTTGGCAAAGAGCATGAAAACAGTCTGGCATGAACTGTAAAATAAAGGTCAGTGCATTATATGAATTATTTGTGACTGCTTCAGCCTGCACTCCTATGTCCACACCAGAAGCTTGAAGCTTTAAAGCCCAAGTAAGACCGAAGAAATCAACCACAAAGCATTTCCATGGAAGGCTCTGACTATTACTATGTTCTAAACCAGTCTGTGGCCACTGTAGAATAGGCTCCACGTGCATTGTGCTGCAAGTGCTCCTGCTCAGTTCCAACACAAGCACCCAAAGTGCCTCCCCCTCTTGTGCCTCCACACTGTGGGCACTTCCCAACCATGACATTCCCACTGCTCCTGACAGAAGGGAAATGGAAACACTGCTGCATGAATCTCAAGAGCAGTACTTACAACCTTTGGCTTGAGCTTGACTGGCGACTGAAGAGGTGGCTCGATTTTTTTCAGCTGCTGTGCTTGGTGCTGTGTCCTGGTCTGGAAATACGGCTGTGGGTACAGCCTAACCTCCAGAGGGGATTTAACCGGGCTGCGTGGAGGGCTCTGTGGGACTGAAAGTTTGCTCTCCACAGTAGCAAGGGAAGCTGGTAAGGAAGGCACTGAAGACTGAGAAAATGAAGGCACTGTTTTTCTCTCTAGGGGAGAAACAGACAAAAATATTTCTTGATGAGGATCCAGCAAGCCTTTCAGGCCAAAAATAAAACCACGTATTTCAGTATCATCCCGTAAAACTCCTGGTGGAGTGCAGTGGGAGCAAAGGAAGGAAAAGCCTGGGAGTCATATGAAATCAGTCCAGAAGCTGCATCTGGCCCCATGCCACAGATTCCTTAAGTTGCTTACAGATCTAGATCATCTCAGAGCTATTCAATCTCTGTATGTAAAAGGTGAGGAAAGATACTTTAAATACAAAGTACATTTTGCAGTAGGCATTAAGAGTCTCTAGCTAACCCAGTGTATTAGAGGTTCTGTCTTTGAAACATAATAAAGCCACTGCAATGCAGACCACACACATTTTCCCTTCCTCTCTTCCAGAGTTGATGTGCCCAACAAATACCTGCCTAAACAGGGAGGGGAAAGGCAACTGCAGCAAGGGCAGCTGGGCTGCACACAAGGGGGATAATAAAAACAATAAACCCAGAGAACAAACATGGAGAAAAGCTCCTGAACAGGATGCAGAACAGATACTACATTGGTAAGAGTCTGGCATGTGACAGAAACCCCTTCTGCAACTCGAAGAATTTAGCCTATTAGTGTTGTTCCCTTTTTTTAATGTCTTGTTACATTTTAGCACCATTGGGTATGTAAGAACAAACAAACAAAAAAAACCCTGTCACCTCAAGCAAATAAACACCGAGTTAATGCACTCAATCAGAGATTTCTGACCCATCCAATAGCATAATTAACTGATTTTCTGCAGCAGATCAAACTTCCAGATTATCTGCATAGACCCAAATTCTCACATGCATTGGTATATATTTTATTTTCATCATGTTCTCCTTACCTGGATTCTTTATAGAGTCTACTATGGTTTTGTAGTTTGCTTTATTTGCACTCAAGCCAGCTGTAACATCTTCAATTCTCCACAAGTCTTTTTGTATTTGTGTTTTCTCCTGTTAGTAGTAAAAGAAAAAGAAAAATCAATTATACCTCAGTTTTAATTTATTATGGGCCTTTCCTTCTTTTGATACCACCAAACCAAACTACTATTTCAGAACTTATATGAAAACTTAGGAGTTTACAACTTCGTTAAATAATAATTTTAAAATAAAATAAAATTATTTTAAAATAAAAAAAATTAAAAAAATAAAATTATTTTAAAATAAAAATTAAAAAGACACAACACCAACAAAACCTTGTCCATAAAAAATTTTAGAGCATTTTCTGACTCTTGGAAGACTTCCTATAGAAGACAGGGGAAAAGAGATAAGTCTATATTTTTCTAGACTATTGTTCAGATTACAAAAACATTGTTTAATGTTCGAAACACCATGAGCTTCCAGAACCTTTTAATTAACTTTGTTCTTAAATCCCATACCTATCAAACTTAAGACCGCTAAAGCAGCCTTACAAAACATCTTAATAGATTTAGGGGAAATATCCAGTATTAAAAAAGCAAAAAAAAACCTCAGAATTGCTGATAATTTTATTTTCTGCTTATATTTGAGTTGTTAGGCCTACTGGCCATGATGTATTACAGGATAAAACAATACATTGCTGCTGCTCCAGGACATGGTCTCATCTTGCATCCCATTTGCCTTACTACTAAGGGTTTCCAGGAGGAAAGAAAGGAAGGAAGGTTTTGTCTACAGACTGGACTTGGCCCTGTGCATCTCATAGCCTGGCTCCTGAAGCCACCATTCCAGTCATTCCAATCATCTTAAATAGCTGCTGCCATCTAATTAATTAAAGCAAGGTAACACCAATTTCAAAAATTTTCATCAAGAATAAACTCAGTAAAACCAATACCATTAAAGAAAGCAAAGGCAGTGAAACACTTAAGTTAAGAATTGCTTACAAACTGCTCAAGAATGCCAGAAATTCATCACTTGCCATGAGCTGCAAAATAGCTACTAATTAATCCTATAAGGCTGAGGGTGGGAAAAATACTTCACTAAAAGCTGTTACACCTCATAGAGCTAAGGAAGGCATATAAATTGCTTTCCACTTTCTGTCTTAAATCAGGAAATATGTTCAGCCAGGTTACAGATCAGCAAACAGGATGCCAAGAACACAAACATTTAAATGATGGAGAATGTTATTTGCCTGTAGTAAACTCACTCGATAGATAAGTCATGTTTTGAAAGATTGTCAGGACACAAACTATAAATTTGCACATTTCATTTAATATTTCTGAGATTAATCATACTACAAGGAACCAAATGATGGATTTACAATAATCAAGCCTCAGAACCAGTGAAGATAACACTACGTTGCACTGAAAATCCTGCTTCTGAAACCACTCAGAAAACGTTTGATTAGCAGTGCAGAAAAGCCAGATCTTTTAATATTATTTCTTCCCATTACTTAAATATTGATGTGAAGAGAATATTTTAGATCTAAAATGGACCTGGGCAGAATGATAAGCAGATTAATTGATTTTAAAATTATGAAAGCCAAGATTGCTGTTTACAGAGGGGTATAAATATATTTCATGTAAAGGTAACTTGGAGAGAAAATTTTATTTCTCTAACTTCCTTCAAACAGAAACATAATTTAGAATGATACAAAACCAGAGGAGAAACACTTACCACCTTAGAAGTTATCACTGATAAAATAACCCATCTCAGCACGCCCAGATCCTCCCCAACCCTTAAGCAAAATACAGTTGAAGCTACATTCTAAAAAGCAAGATTTACTCCGACCAAGCTGCTTAAACATTCAGGTTTTAACCTCTTAATTAATGCTACAGAGAAACAACATCAGTGGTCTCCTACAGCAACTTGAGCCTGCAAATTTACTGAATTTTTAATGATATTCCATGAAGACTACATTTTTTTAAAATACAGTGTGTATTAATATAGTGCTATTGAAAAATGCTAGATAAACAATCTTAAGTCTGCATGCCCTTGGGCAGAGATAAAAAAAATTCTAACTATTATGGGTACTTCAAGTGAGACTTCTTTGAAGGAATATAGTTTTTTAGAATATTCAGTATTTTCTGAAAAAATCAGTTCCCCTTAGAATCTCCAAAATAGGTATTCAGAAACATTTCTTTAAAACTTAGCCAAACATATCTGTGCATACTTATATGTATGGATATATAAAAGTATACGCACATACAACTCATAACGTGCTTATGGCTGTGTGTGTATTTATAATTAATCACTTATGTGATATGAGATGCTAATCAAACTGAATTAACATATTTTTCTATGCAAACCACATTCCCTTCTATATGTATTGGTGAATCCCAAGCCAATGATCCAGTATTTTAAGCATGTTTAAAGTCTAATTGGAAATTTTATCTCAAAGTAAAAGGTGTATTATCTCTAAAAAGGTGTATTTTGTTTAAAGGTGTAATTTGCCTTTGTTACACTAAGCAATTTCATATAATTTTATTCTAATATTCCCCTGGGATTTTTTTCTTTAAAATATATTCTGCAGCTGAGCTCAATTACATATTCTGACTCCAGAAACTGAATCACTCCCCCCCACCCTAAAATGAAAAGTAAATGAGAATGTACTTTGAAGACTGACACAATCATAAAAGGTTTTACGACTCTTGCTTCGATAGAAAACATTTATTCATCAATAGTGAAAATAAACATGCTTCAAATTATATCTAAATCAGATATTTACTGCAAACGAATTAGCTAAAAAATTTAACTAGTGACCTCTTTTGGTCCAGGATATTTGGAAAACTAGACTAAGATTTGAGAAAAATGTATACGTTAACTGTGTTCCTTGTGTTCTGTTCACACAAAGGAAAAAGAATCCTGTATTCCCTGAGAATAAAGTCACCAGTTATAAGCAGGTATGTAGAAATAATCTGGTATTCCATATCTGTTTCAGCAAAGAAAATAACTGAGCTTCAAACAAAGCTTCTTTTCAAAATTTGAAACTGAATAATTGATTTAAAACTGAGATGCCTTTCAATTACTAATGGCTGTTAAACACTTATTCTGCTTCACAAAACAATCTGCAGAGATGAATCTTCCGTAAACAGAAGAACATGACAATGAACAAGTAATGACAATAACAACCAGTGAGTGATGCTCTTAAAAATGGATAAAGAAGCCACAATGTCAGATCAAATAAATGGAAGGCTAAAAAGTCCTGCATCCTTATAAATTAAATACGTTACCAATGTCAAGATGTCAGCATGTAATAAAAATGTAATAAAATAATGACAGATTTGCATGAACAACTTATGAGAAACTATTGCATGTGCTGCAAAACAATGTAGTGGTTTTTTTTTCACTGCACAGACATGCTGCTACAGTGCCTGAACTCTGCAAACCAAATTGCATGACAGTTGAGTGCACTGCAAAAATGGCAGAGAAAATTTCTCTTATGAAATGGTAACTTGAAGTTCAGATTAAATCATCCTCTAAGTGTTTACAGCATCTGGAAATGGACTCACCTGGGAAATGGACTCACCTGAGATACCAATGAACTGTTCATCTGCTCCTGTAAGGCTTTTTTCAGTTGGCTCACATCCTTTTCTAATTTCAGGTACTCATTCCAGGCATTTTCCATTTCCTGTTAACAGAAGGAATACTCTAATACAGTGCTAACTTCAAAGCCACTTTCTCCATCCTCTAATTGAGCACCAAAGCATTTTGAAGTTACTGTTGTTCTTTTATAAGAAGTAGTAAAGGATCAATTTTAGTCTACATTGTTGCTTAGACTGGATTGCACACCTGAAAACACTCCATAGCTTGCACAATCAAGTCAAGAACCTACAGTTAAAAAAACTCTGGCCAGTTTCCTCACACAAAACCAAACTGCCATGTAACAGAATCTCTGCACCAGTACAGCCCTTTATACAGTGACTTGCTATTTATGCCCACAAATACATTTTAAATGCTGACTGTGAAAGTCATACATTTTTGACAGACACAAACTGACTAGATACATTTAAATAATACTGTCATTCTAGTGATCAGATCTTACTAGAGGGAAGGTGTTCATGCAATGTGAGAAACAGTCTTACACAGAGCTAGTCTCACGTTCATGAAGAGGTAATAATAATAAGAGTGAAAACAACATTAAATTACATTTGAATTTTATTAAGTTGTAATATGAACGGTAAATTTTTACTAAAATATCAACAGATTCTCCCAATTTCTTTTACTCTGGAATCACATTTATATTTTCAAAAGACTAGCTGAAAGATTTGCAAGTTAAGACCACACTTAACATCTAAAGACATTGAAAAGGTTATGGGGGGTTTGTTTGGTTTGGGGGGAGGGGAAGCAGGCATTGAAAAGTAAGTCTGGAGAGACTGTTCAACTTTTTTTTGTCTGGTTTAGTATCCTCTACCTTAACCAAAACTGTTCAGAACAGGTCTTAACTTCCTTATCCAATGACCAATACAGTTTTAGTCTGAGATTTTAATTATGGTTTTCTTGAAGCAACCAAAAACACATACTGTTGAAACTTTGGATATTTCAGCCCGAATGTGTATAAGGTCCTCTTGCAAAAGTCTCTGCTGGTAAGATATTTTTTCTGCATGTTGTGGTTGGTCTTTGTACTGATCCATTTGCCTGTGTAAAACCTCCAAAACAGACTCCAGCTGATCCTAACAAAGGAGATGGGAGTAAGTTTACAACATTTACACAGAAATTTATGCATCAACTTGCAGGAATATGAAAGGTGTTTTCCACGCCCCAAGTCTTCCCTATAAACCAACAGAGGTTAGGACTGGCCTCCTATTTTGGAGACTCACAAGTAAACAAGAACTTTAAGAAGCTTAATTACCTCTTGTACCCATAATATTTGCTATTAAATCTTCCCATTAAGCATTGAAAACACAAAGCAGTGAGAGGGGAATTTTTCTGTTTGCATGCTGTACAAAAGTTTAATATACAGTTTCAGAAAAAATTCCTTTAAGCAGTTCAGAACTGTGACAGCCCTACCTCAGCCCAGCACGAGATGCTTGTTTAAGGACAAGTTCACTGCTATGGGTGAAAGAGTCATGTGAGGGTTTAAAATACTGTCTAAAACATGAAACAGGCCCTATTCATTTAGTCAGGAGTAAGTAACATGGAATTAATGTTGCACAGTAGCTCTTCCAAAGGATCCACCTGAACAGTACTTCCATTTTAGGATATATAGATATATTTATTTTTTTTTTAGTTATTATTATTTTTAAGACCACCTCAGTTTATTGACAGCTATAGCTTACAGGAAGTGAAGCAGATGGGTTTAAAATAGTCACTTTCAAAAACATGTTTTCTCAGACTGGGTATTCAATCCTAAAATAAAGCCCAATTCTTGTTATCATAGAAGTATATACACACTACATAGCAATCAGCATCCATTAATTCAATTTTTTGTTTAAAATTTCCTATTTTTTTATTTTCTGATTAGATAAAAACTTCTACTTTATTTTATTAAGCCCTTTTTAACCTACTTACTTTATTTTCCTTAAGGGCTCTTATTTTGTCCTCCAAGTCCTGCAGAATTCTGTCCTGCTCACAGAACACGCTTAATTTCACCTGGTAATGAAATCAAATACATATGTAAGATTTTATAATCATATATAAGATTTTAAAAACCAAGCAGAAAAGTATTTCCTTGTAATATTTCACCCCAAGGAGCATAATAATGATCATGTAACTGTACAACAGAAATAGATAAATCAGTACAAGAGGTGCTGAAGTGGTGTTTGAGACTTACATCAATATCACTTTCTGCAATTTTGACAGGTTTTGTACTTCTTTCTTTCAACGTGTCACGTCCTGTCACCTAAGAGGAGCAGATTTTCAAAATGTAAGGAATTCGTTGCAAACTAAAATCTAATTATGCTTCAGCAGTGAAAAGAAAACTTTTGTTAAATATTCACTTCTATTAAGAAAAAAATAATAAAATTCTGGATACAAGTACTTTCAAACCTGGCTTTAGTTTTTGAGAAGTGTTACAAAAGGGATTACTAGTTATATTCGGCTATTTAGTAACTCTTCCAGCAGCTTGGAATTCCGTACAAAAGAGCACAATCCCACCTGTCTATGGTTACTGAAGTCCTGCAAATTTTCCTGAAAAAATCTAGTAGTTCAAACAGCCCTGCTCTAATAGCTTTCTTGAAGCCAAAGGAATTTAGTCAAATGCAGGGTTGCAACAATAGCAGCATTCATTAATGACTAAAAATACAACTTTTGTCAAGTGTTTCATTCTACAAAGGACAGTATCTTCCTCAGCACAGGGTGGATTTTACTAAAGACAGAGTGCTATAAAAATGCTATAGTGGAATTAAATGCAATTAATCTATTTTGATATGGCTGTCACGTACCAAATCTCTCATTCCATAAATCACTGGTTACATATTCCATTTCTTCTCAAACCACGCAGTTTTAGAGTCAGTACCAAAACAACACTCAATTGTACTTCCAACCTTCACATCAACCTCAAAAATAAAGGCATGTCTGTGTCTGTAGAAATGTTTATTATTTCCACACAGGACCCTCTTGGTGAATAAATGAGGTTACGAAAAGAGCAATACAATAAAGCTCATAAATAATACATTTTTAAAAAAGCCTTAAAATCTAAAGATTTAATATAATATCTTTAGAACAATTTAAAGATTGATTACAGCAAATACTAACTGGCCACAGGACCACCTGGTGATTAGTAGTATTCAAATGCAGCATATTCTTATTCATATACAGGCAAAACTTTATGAACAAAAATTCACCTCAATATTGCTTTCAGTAATGTAAGAGGAGAGACTTTGATACAAAAGCTGAAGTTGTTGGTTTTTTTTAGTGAGCTAGAAGAGGCATGAAGAGGCAGTTTGCTTTTTTACCAACTGGCCATCTCCAGATTTGAAGCTACATATTTTACCTATGTAAAGTAAGAGTCACCTACAGGATCATGTTAGCTTTTTAAAAATAATTAAATTTTACTCTAAGCGAGGTAAATATTGTCTACTCTCCTCCAGTGGCAGACTCCATTTAAAGACTTCTCATGTACCTTTGTGAGGTGAAATATTACTTCTCAACCACCAAAATTAGTAGTATTTATTGCCTCTAGAAGTTTTCAATTTTTTTTTTCAACAATTACATGTAATATGGAAGGAAAAAACCTGTCTATCAAAAGTATTAATGAAATTATTTAATTACTAAATCTTATATATATAATTTTAACAATTACTGCATATTTCATTACCTGCGAGCTAAGACAATGCAAAAGCCTTTTTCAAAGCAACAGAATTAACATAAAAACAAGTCTATAGAATTTGGGGATACTTTAAATTACATAATCAGAACTGCAAGGAATTTGTTAGCTATCAAGCAATGAAGATGACAATATAATGCAGATTAAGCATGCTTTCACATTTTCAAAATTCCACACAGGAGTCACTACTTGATACATTCATTTTCAAAACATGATAAAATGAAACCAAACACTGAGGTCAGCCATAATTTTGCATACAGACTCCAAAAGAGGGGGGAAAAAAGGGAAGTAAAAATAAAATCTTACAGAAAGCACTACTGTGTACCAAAAGACACCTGTAAAAGCCAAAACACCGACTGCTACTTGAAAAAGCGATGGGATGAGCACATTTCAATGCAAGCAGTCTTACATGTATACTGGATAGTAACCCTTGTGCTGAGTTCTTTAGCACTTTGTATATCATGTTGATCAGAGGTCCATTATTTTCTATCTGTTTCAAACAAAAGTTTAGTCACAGCTTGTTACAAACGTCAAGATTTAAAGCCCCAAATCTTGCAACTCAAAACTCCACAAGCAGCAGTGATCACACGCTCTCAGGACACACCTAAGCATTTTGCAGTTAACTGCTCAATCACAATTCCATGCTGAAAAGCTCTATTTTGAAACCTCGAAGATCTTTAGAAATAATGGATTTAGTGAAAAGAAAAAAGCTTAATTCCAGTTCCAAAATGTTCAGTCCTAATTGAAATTGTTTAATCAGGGTGGGTCTAATTCAAAGCACAGTGAAGTCAAAAGACTTGAACTAATGGGTTTTCCATCTAAGTCTCCAGTGTCTTAAATGGAAGACATTACATGCATTACCTGGGAATTTGCTCTTACTAAAATCTGTATCATTTGCTTCGTTTCATACTGCACACTCTTCTTTGTTCCTCATATCACAAATCAAAGCATTGCTACATTAGTGGCAAAACACAAATGTAAGCAACACAAGCACACCTGAAGTTTCAAATGGTCTCTTTAATCTTTCAGCACCTGACCTCAAATTTTACATTTCTGGACCACGACTGAAAGAAGGTCATTAAGAAATGCCCATTTCAAAAATTTACATCATTCCTTTGGAAATGACATTTTGCACACTTGACATTTTGAGTGTTAAGATTTTCAAAAGGGAACCAACTGGCATTAAGCTTCTTTTTACAGAAGTATCAGGTGCCCCCATACATTTTTCTTTCTGGCTGCTTTTGCTAGGTGCTACAGGCAGCATGAAGGCACAAGGCGAGCTCCTAAGAGACCAAATATCTCCTTGTATTCTAAACTGCAATGAATTAATCTGGACAGAATCCACTAAAGAGTTAAGAGCCCCTCCTAATAATTTTGCTAAGCATATCACATTTTCAGAAGCTTGACCTGTGGTCACTTCAACTGTGAAAATTATTGTGTTTTATAATGGACAAAACACTGTGATTATCAATAATTTCTCATCTTATAGGACATTTTAAATTGTAATTTGTCATAAAATTCATCTGATGGATTGGGCTGCAGTTACACTTTGCAAAGCCATGAACAAACCAAGGACAAGACTTAAAATTAAATGTGTCCAACCATTTTTAAATTTGTATAATATATAATTAATAATTCAAACAGTTTACATATTCGATCATTTAGACTACATATACATCATACATATATTATATGCTAAATACCTTATCTTTATACATATATAGTACTATATGTATGCATAGTATGTATTATGAATATTTTCCATTTATATATTTGGTTATATATTCAGGACTTATAGTCATCAGATAAGACTGAAATACACATCCTCACAGATGCAGTCAGCTCACAGGCAACACCCCATGGCATCAGTGAGCTCTGTACATGCAAATCAGACAGACAACTAGGTGTCAAATTTCACTTCACCTTGATTTTCAGGAACACCACTTGATTTATATATGGCAAGACATCCTACATACCACAGAAAGTGGCAAACTACTTTGCCAAGTGTAACAATTATATCTTTTTTCTGGATTTCCTTTTCCCTCAAAATCTGATATTAAGAATTCTAGATTTGCTTTCAAGTTGCCAACCATCAAGTGTACCAGACACAGCAGTCATTTAGACAGATGATAGGACCCTCAGTATCATATTTAATTATTTTTTAAAAAGAAATACCTCCTAACATTAATTGATCAGATTCTATCTATGATGGATGGGTGAATGGGTGCATTTGAAAACTTACAGCTGTAATAACATGAAAACAATGACAGTGGTAATTAATCATATTTTCACAAGAACATATGGCACATTATACAAACAAGGGAAAAGTCAGTTTAAGAAGATTTAAAAGAGAAAAGCTGGATTAAAAGAACATGAGTTTTAACTTAGAGGTGTTTTTCATATTGGTACTAATGCTACAGCAGGGAAACATTTTCAATCTGTTTTTTATCTGATTTCCCTAAACCCACCCATCATTCATCTCAGTACCAGCAACACAAGTCATTCTTAAAAACTAAAGCAACCACATTTTCTGAGTCTGCACTTTAATTGTATAGTCACTACTAAAAAGACACTCAATATTCTAAGCACAACATAGGCAAAGGACAGTTTGTATCTCAGACTAGAAAGTTATTTAAAATTTGAAGGTACAAAGATGATACAATAAAGACATCTGTGTTGAAAAAAAAATAAAAAAAGAAGCAGACTTATCTAAAATCTTACCTTTAGATCCAAATACTCCAGATCCTTTTTCAACTGGATGTAAGTGTCATCCGCCTTCAGATAAGTACATAGGGAAAAAACAGCGCAATATATATGAATATTTGAAACTATTGCAAAATAGTTCCATTTGCTATATAGAAGAAAACAGATGGAATAGAGAACAAAATAATGGAATAGGAGCACATAGAAAAAGCACACTTGCTCCACCAGCATATTGCTATTTACAACTAAAAAATGGGCAAAATATTTTCCAACAGTATTACTACTTCATTATACCCCCTCCAAACATCTAGATTTTTGTTTCCACCTCTAATAGGACACAGAACTACCTAAACCAATACATTTTCAAAAGCTATTTTTTCAAGATCAATTTCCACTGACCAGCTCTTCACTGAAAAAGTCAGTGGCGTGACTGAATGTCAGACATAACTAGAAGACATCATATATTACTAAAATACTACGCATTTTAATATATTAATGCCTTTATTCAGGGAAAGTATGAAATAAGTTTTGTGAATAAAATTCTGAAAAAGATCTCACTTATATGATTAGATAATCCATTTTGTCTTTTAAGTAACAACATTCAAGTTGATCCTTGTTTCTCATTGCCTCACCTGTGACTGCTATCAGCTTAATTTTATAGTTACACTCATCTAGCAACATCTTTATTATAGTCCCTTCACGGAAAACATGCACAGAAGTCAACAAAGTTATTTCTCCTCTCTTGAAAGGGACTATTTGAAATACAAAATAAAGTTTAACTGTTGCAAATGCGCTACTTGTAGTTAGCCAGAATGCCAAAAACTTACTAGAATTTTAACTGCTATTTTGTTAGCATTTCATATCCTGGGTGCAATTAACTTCAGAATAAAAGAAAAACACTACCTTTTCTCAAGTTTTGGGCCAATGAGAAAGTGTAGTTAGAAAAAAACGCATTAAATCAACAGATCACACTTGCATTTCTTTAGAGGTGTTCACTTACAATTCTTGTCAGATCAGCTTGTAAGGTGGCTGAGGACTTTAGACTAGGAAGTCTGCCCATTTTTGGAGAAATCACTGTTATTACCACCCATCTTAGTGCAACTGTTCTGTAGGTGAGGTAATCAGGAAATGAAACTTCTTCTATTTAAGAAAAACGCTTTAGTTTAAGGCCAAAGCCTTAATCAATTCCAAGAAGAGTCGCCAGATTTTATTCCCAGGTGGCTCCATTTTTGAGGCTCTAATAGGAACCGGAGAGCTCTGTGAGTATATTTCTGTTTGATTTCGCATTTACAAGTTTTGTAACACCAGTGCAATCAAGAGCACTGTAGATGATCCAAGATGTTCCTGAGCTTTTACGAACCAGTGTTCACCTGCAGAACTGACACAGTTACAAGCTCATATGAAGGTACAGACTGGCTGATGCATTTCAGTTTGCAGGTGATGCGGCATGTGGTGCAGGGAGCCAACCCCAACATGAAAGCAGCACAAAGAAATGGTTTTGCTTTAGAATGAACTTATACAGTATTTTAACCCACATTTCTGAAGATGCAGCATTTTCAGAAATAGTATAAGTACACAGTATAAAAAGGAAGTAGACACTTTGAAACAGATGCACTGGCACCCTGTAACTTAAAAACGCTCATCTTCTATAGCAAATATAGTAAGCAAAGAAAAACAGCGAACGACCTGGGCACCGTAGAATACCAAAGAATGGGCAAGGAAGCACAGACTCAAGCATGCCACTAATGAAGCATTTGCAGAGTCACAAAATGTCACAGATGAGCCACGCAGCAGCTGACCTGATAGGTGGAATTAGTTGGCAAGTGCTGCAGTAACTGAGCGATTGTGTAATTTCTTATACTAGCCAACTTAGCCTGATGTCTCCTTAATCGAATGAGAAGCAATGTTAGCTCTTCAGGCTGCAGGTATTTAGACACATTGTAAAGAGGAAATTAGCAGTCTTCAGGGAGAGGAACTATAATTACATTTTTCACCTCAGTGCCCAGAAAGCAGTTACTTGACATGACTAAGCAATTATTTCATTAACTCTGCATTTGTTCAAATAAACATAATAGAACTTGAATCCTGTAATAACAGACAGCTCACCCCTGTTCATGTTGCAGATAAAGGCAGAAGTCCTACAGGATTTACTGGATTAAGTTCTCATTTGAGTTCTTTATGCTTTAACTAATAAAGTTAAGATCAAGAACTATGGATTTTAAAGTACACAAGAGGAGTCATGCTCTGCACTTACCGACTTGCCGTGCAAGCTGGGTGCGCTCACCGTGTGTGTCATGTAGCCCATGGCAGGCATGGAGCGGCGATCCAGGTGAGTGGAGCTCTGCAAGAAGCCACAGCCACAACATAAGCATTGTGTCAAGTAGCAGCTGCATTGCACCTGAGGGCAAATTCAGTCTGCACTTCTGCCTATTTTCTATTTGAAATCTAAGATCAGGGTAACACTCATGGGCCAGCTCCATCCTTTGATGATTAAAAACTTATGAATGAACAAATACAAATTCAGCACCTGTGATGCTGGGCAGAGCATCAGATTGTGGCAGTATGAGATGCTTCAGCAAAACATGCAATGTAGCTTCCAGCAAATAAAAAACGAGTTTAGAAAGTTGACCCCAACCCAATGTCTCCCAGAAAAAGATTTGGTTGGATGATGCCCTCCAACAGCAGCCTTGTACAGCACATAGTAACAAGTGTGAATGCTCTCTTTTAGCCAGGCAACATGAAGCTACTGACATGACTGACACCTTGTGGCAATGGCTTCCATTAATAGCAAGGGGCTTTTTAATCATCTTCCTTGATCTGCCCCTTTCTGCTTACAGTATGGAAGCCTACTGCACACTCCTTTCATCTTTCTCTTAAAGCAAACCTTCTATGGCTTTCTTCAAGGCAGACTAAATGTCTCAGTTTATTTTTATTCCTGTCTCTGAATTTCACTGAATGCTGTTTTGTTTTGCCTCGCCTGCCTCATGTTTTTTTAAGTGCAACTGGATGTAATTTAATAAAGCAGTACAGGGAGTGTGGAGTATCACAGATTTCTGCAGACATACACATTTAAATGCAAAATGATGCTATGTGCTTACATAGAAAAACGTGAGTATTTTCTCTACAAACTTTCACAGAAGTTCCACAGAGAAGTTTTAGCAATAAGGAACTGTGTTTCCCAATATTGGTAAAGCCAAGATGCTATAGAAAGCTTAAAATTTCTGCACTTACATTGCACAGGAAAGGAAAAGACTGCTGTACATGCCTTTGTAAGCATGTAATGCTCCTTCAACTTAAATACGGAGAAACGAATGTGTGGTAGAATATAATCAGGAGTTAAAAAAATACCGATTTCCAGTGTGGCAAATCACTAGACTATTTCACTCCCTGACAGAATATTATAAACCTATAAATGCTGAAAGACACCCAACAGCTATGCCACATAAAGAAAAGGAAAAAGATCTAAACTGTGCATGAAGTTGCAGCCTTAAGTCGTGGTCCTAAACTCATACTGGGTATCTGAATTTACAAGTCTCTCTGTTTGCAAACACTTTCCCTATCAGAGTCCATGGCTGAGGTCAAAGAATAAAGTGAATACAGAGGCTTTCAATACCAATTTTTCCAGATCAACCAAGACAAGTCAATCCTTCACTGATTCAACACGAATTTCCCCAAATTCCTTAGGCAAGGAGAGCCATATGGAGTACCGAACAGCGAAACCTCTGTCACCTCTGCATAAGAGGGTACAAGAGTCCCTCCAAAAAAATCCACACTGAAACTATGCAGAAGGTTGAAGTTTCAGATCAACGCTTTTTGATTTTGTTCAGCCCAATGCTAAAGACTCTGCAATGGACCTGAACTATTAAATGCATGAAAAATAATATATTTTACTATAATAATAATATGGGGTTTGCCATAACCAAAAGCAGAAGCAGCTGTAAGACTACAACAGCAAAACATGTAGAGAAAGCAGGCACGGTAAACACAAAGGTAAAAGCAAAAACAAATATTCAAGGAAGATTCTATTCAGCTGAGTTTTATATTCTTGACATTATACTCCCTATTAAAATACTACCATCTGTTTACTTTATACATGTAGGCATATGCCTTCCAGTTTTTTATTAAAAGTACTCCAAACCTGTGTGATGTGCCACCAATTTTCCTTTCCAAACCAACAAAAGTTAATAAATCTGATCAGAATGGCAAGAGCTTGAGGAGAAAATTATTCCTTGTATTAGCTTTTACAACTTACATGATCTTTCATACACGAGGAAAGATGCAATGAATCATGACTAAATAAACTCCCCATGCATGACACCACATGTAGAATCGTTTGCAATCAGTTAAATGGATACAAACCTTTACAGCACGATTCCGTATCTTCCTAGGGGATCCAGCAAAAGGAACATCCACAGTCTGTCTCTCATCAGATGGTTTAACTGTGAGCCTTTCTGCAGGAGTATGTGGTCTTCGTGGGAGAAAGTTTTTTGGAGGTCCAGGTGGAGGAATATCAGATGGAGAGGGTGGAACAGATATTGACCTTGGAACATCTAATGAACTTTTTGACTTAGCACGATCAATAAAGTCTGAAGAACCTGCATAAAGTGGGGCCGTGGGGCTTCCATGTTTGAACTGCTGTCTCTGTTGCCACTCATACAGCTGCCAAACAGTTCCATCCTTATTTGCCTTCCTTTCCTCCTGGGACATCTTCAAGTGGCTTACACGATCTTGTGCATATTTGTAGTCACTCGGCAAATTGCGGTTTGGTGGTGGTGAGCTCCCTGAAGGCTGCCTGGTATTCTTTGGCAAAGTGTGATAGTTTTCAGGAAAAGGAGGATTGGGACCCTGACGTGTAAGAGTCTGATCAGATGTCAGGCTGTAAAACAAAGGGAAGAAAACTGTAAATTTTAGCACACTGATGAGTGGGAGTGACTGTTAAAAAAAATACCTCTACTGACATAAGTATAGGAGCTAGAAGACATATAATAGACATTTTAAAAGAATTTACAGAAATATTAACAAAGCAATATTAATGACATCTATCCTGCACACAAACACTAGACTGTACAGGATTTTAATTTAGCAATTTAATTTAGGATGAACCACTAGAAACAAACTTAAGGAACTGCAGCATTATGTACTTAGACTAAAAAGAAAGTTAAGAACATGAAGAAAGGAATTATTCTCATGTTTATCGAGTCAATCTGTAAATTAAAATACTCGTTTTCACAGAAAGTGTGCTCACCACTAGGTGGTGCAGTTTACGAAAACAAATGCTCGTTCAATATAAATATGTTTAAAAGCAAGAAGAAATCTCATCAATCCCGGAATATCTCAGATAGGTTTTGTTCATATGAATGAAGCAAAAATAAAGAAAATGGTAAGAAACTGCTCAAAGTCCCCAGGTCTGTGTGATTTACTTTCACCTAATGCTACTAGTTCTAGTGATTTGAGAAACCTGAGACTTTTTACAAAAAGGTCATTGACTAATTAGAATACAAAAGGTGGTAGTACATCCTGGCTTTTGTACTGCACCCATAAAATACTTAAACTGTACAAACTAGATATTTTAGTAGGTAGCTAAGACAGAACTGACAAAAGTTTTGACAAAGTCTAGTTAGCTCCCTCTCCTGCTCTTAAGTCAAAATCTTTCTGTAGCCTCATGCATAAGAGCCTGCCTGTCTAATTTCTGATTCTTCAGCCAAACATCTGGGGGTTTTGTACTTGCAGTCATTTGCCCATTCATTCATAATCTCCAATGAGAAAAACATTCTGCTGGGCTTGCTATGAAGCATCAACACAAAAAACCCCAAAATTGTAAAAATGAGCCCAGCACAAAACCCCGCAAAGAAACTCTGAGCATGTTTTCATCACTTCACTTGGTAAGTTCCACTCTCTGTGTGAGAGGGAGACCTCATGGTTTGGAAAATGCAGGAATTCCAGATGAAAGAAAGGCCAGGATGGAAAAGAACATCTTTGTTCAGAATCCAAGAATAACTGAAGCAAGGAGGAAAGAACTGCTACCAATAACTGCTGTTCAGTAGTTACCACCATCTCTTTTTACTTGCAGGATCTGGCACTGTTGGACTGCCTTGAAATATCGATACTCTCAAGAGCATGCATAATTCCTCATGCCAGCAAGCAGAATAACAGCCCTGCACTGCCTGGAGGACTACAAATCTGTAAAGGGTCTGCTCTCTCATACCACAAAATCTTGACGCTGCTTTGAATTTCAGGGTGAAGGTTAAAGCAGGCAGGTAATATGAACACAGGCAACTCAAAGATCAGCATACAGTGGTCATGGAACATCTTTTAATTCTCTAATTCATTGCATCATGTGTACTTTCAATGTCCTGTACCTTGCTGCCAAGTTTTCCCACATAAAAATCATGCCTTAGAAATGTATTTTCTCCAGATAGCAGTAAGAACTGAGAATGCTTGGAGTGGATAATGCTTCAAAAGGACATCTGAGGCAGACATAAAGCTAAGACAGATTCCTTTGGTGATTTTCTCTGGAAAAACAGTAGAGATTTTGACCACTCCTATACCCAAATTTAACAGAGACGTCATGAAGGCATATGCAAACTACCAGATGTCGCAAATCATCTGTGTGTGATTATTTTCTAACTGGACATTAAAAGGCAGAGTATTAAGATCAGCTGGAATTGGTGGCAGTCAATGAAGTCACCAAAGCTGGAGGCTTCAGAGGCAAAACCAGCCTGACAACAAAGACAACATGAGCTTTTTGGAGGGTAAGGGGAATCATGCCTTCCTTCTAGAAAAGGGATGAATTTTTCTAAGAACCAAAAACTGTTATTTTGAAAGCAGTACATGGAGCAGCTGATATGAGCCAGTTTCATGCAATACTTCAGCCTGCTATAAAAAGAGAACAAAGTTGAATGTGTGTAACATTGCACAGGGAAAGTCATATTCAGAGCTGAACTTTGGAGGCAACTGCCTACATACAGGCACATTGTGTTTTCTCAGTATCTTAAGTAGGGAGAAACCTCAAGCTGAAATGACAAGCTTTAAGCTGGTGGCATCTCTACCACACAAGGTTTGAGATGCTTAGAGATAATTTGCATAATTTAAAAATAGGCACTGAGACAACACACTGATTTCTACATAAAGAACAATGTCCACAAAGGACCATGGACTATTTACTTTCTGAGATTAAGAGCAAAAGTGAGCAAAAGCAGTTGTTCTTGGGAATTGATGATGAGGTATAGAGAATATAAAAAGGAAAGCAGACATTAAAGAGTGAATAAATGGCTTGATATCATATTATACGACTATTGGCTATGAAAATCATTCAGGATCTGCAATGGGAAGAAACCACACAGAAGTTATTGTAAAAAGAGAAGATAGATGTTCAAAAGACAACAAGTACTATTATTAGAAACACTGTGCCCATTCATGGGAATGCACAGAAGCTAACAAAGACAACCAATGTCTCTTCCTTAAGCAAATCAGGAAGAAAAAGTTCTACATAACAAGAAAGGTTTCAACACTGTTTGCAAGGAAGTATCTCAGCATGACTGCATCTAGTGGAGAAATACTAAGCTTAATTTGATTTATATATTTTTAAAATGCAAGTAAACTGTAAGAAATAGCAAATTATTCATAATTACGCATTGAATAAGTTTATGCAGGCACTGGAACCAGATCAAAATCTAACAATTTCTGAACAGCTGCCATTTGATGGTCCTGACCTTGACCTCTAATTACTTAAACCAAAAACTTCCTGAAAGCCTCCTTTCAAACTTTCTTCCAGTTCTTGAGATCTCTCTGAAAAGTTGGCATGAATCTTACCAAAGCAGGTATTCCCATTTGCTAAAACCAGAGTGGGATTAGATGGCTACACTGGATGTCACTGGAGTGCAGCTGAGAGGTCACTAAGAGAGGTGGATCTCCAGCATTTACAGCTCGACAAACTGAGTGCTTTATTAAAAGGGGAAGTAAAACTTCTGTGGGAAAGGTCTAAAGATGGCACCTAAAAAAGGTGCCATTCCTACAAGCAGTCATATGAACAACTTCAGTATTTGTGTGCACCCTTTCGCTGGAAGGGTTCTTTCTTGTCATAATCAACTTGCTGGCAAGCACTGCATCTGTACACACCTGAGCCAGGAAACAAATAAAACTGTACTCATTCTGTGTTGAAGAATTATCCAGCTTCTGAATCCGCAGAGGTTCTCTACTTCTAACATTTCAGCTGGAATAACAATCAATGTGGAGCTTTAAAAAATTAAGTGGTCTTCTACTACTACTCACTAAAATCAAAACAGGAAGTCAATCAAATTACCATCTCTAGTGTAAATTTCTCTGCCATGCAATCAGGAAGATATTTGACAACTAACACTCTGCTTCCATCTATCATTTGACTACACTGCAACAACCTCAGCAAGCTAGGAGAAGGTGCCATTTAAAAGATGACTCTATTAATCTTCGGGAAGGTAACATGCAATTTATTCTGAATGCAGAGAATATAATGGCATTTGTCAGGAAAAGACAAAGAAAACAAGGTCAACTGAGCCAAAATAGACATTTTTAAAGATATGCATATGCAGATACAGAGCTAAATCTAGAAACAGATACACATAGATATACATATATTTCTATCTTTATTTTCACTGAATATTTAGCAGCTCCAGCTGAAGTAGCTGGTTTCTTCTAGAACAAAGCCTGGCACCTGCAACAACACTATCTTAACACTGTACCTGATACACACCCCTAAAGTTAATTTACTGGAAGAAGAAATTAGGAAGAAAACCATACTTATTTAGCTATCAGTCAAGCCTGTCGCTGCCAGGAGTTCTGATGTAAAAAACATCAACAGAAGCTTTTTAAGCATTAGCTCATTAGTTCTATCATTTTCTGTATTATTTCAGGCAAGTCAATGTATGTAATAAGAACTAACTTACCAACTACTTTTTTCATTAAACTTACATTCTTTTGGAAAGTCCTGATTGATATCCAAGCAAAAAAGATGGAAGTTAATTGACTTTAGCAGTCTAAAAGAACATTAAATAATATAAAAAAGCAAGAAAGCTTCTTCAAGGGTAATTTCAAAGACAAGAGTAGAAGAATGGACTTCCATGCAAAGTTAGCAAGCCTTAAACTTCTTACTGGCTCCAAATTTGCAAGTTAGCTTAGAAAAGCATTTTAAAAATGCCCAAAGTGTTTTCTCCATCCTAAAAACCACATGCCAATGTCTCTTGTTTGTTTATACTATAATTAGATTTGAGCAGATTTATAAAACACTAATTCAGTAGAATAAGCATATTTGAAAAATCCTCACAAGTAGCATCAAGCCCAACTGTTTTTCCTGCCACTTGACACAAGGTGACATTCTGAACAGATGCACATATTCATCACTTCATTTTCCAACTGGTACTTAATCTGACTTTGAAAGCAAAACAATTATGAGATTTTCAAACTACAAAGGCATTTCAGTGTGCATTTCATCTGCTGGTACTATTTATGTAATTTTCAGAGACAGAAAATGGAAAAAAGAATCCTCGACCTCTTCCTTAACTAAATGAATATATGGAGACCTTTCAATATGTGATACACACACTATGACTCTGAGTGCAATGATCTGATAAAGAGGAGTGAATGGATGCTTGGAACAGGAGCAGAAGAGAGAAGGAAAGTAATGAGCAATCTTTACTTTTTCAAGTGGAAAGCAAACAATTACCTGCAATTTATATTGTGTAATTGTTTATGAGTAAGGGCTAACTGAGGATTGCACTTCACTTTCTGGCTCTTCAAAATTTAAGCAAATTTAACAAGTTTTAAGCATCCACAGTGATTAAAAGAAGGTAAATAAAACAGCACGTTAATCTCACTTTTCTGTTTCCAATACTGTGACAACATTAAAGAGATTTGATTAGTCAATCCCATACTGGCTTTACCAGAAGATAAATGCCTGAAAAATACCATTCTGCACTGAAGGAAAAAAGTACGTTTTCCTACATAGTGTCTCTGTAAAATATTGTTCTGAAATGCACCAAAGGTATTATTAACACACATTTTCCTTTAATTTAAGAAAGCGCCACTTGGCCATCTAGTTAAAGATGGGCCTATTACTAACCTTTTTGTATCTCCCTTCTGGACTTTTACCCAGTGCTCCACTTGAGCCATGTTACTTTTCCTTTGAAACTGCTTATCTGGATTTGTTCTGGGAACAAAGCCTCTTTTATATGAGCCAGTACCATTCTGCTCCACTAGGCCAGCACTCATACTTATTGAGCTAGGAACTGTTCCGTTCTTCTCAGCTGGCTGAGGCTGAGCTACTTGGGACCACGATGCATTCCTTAAATCCGAAAATAATGGATCAGCTTCTGTTAACGCATGCTTAGCCTGTCCCTTTTTGGTTTCCAGAGTTTCTTTTCTGTGGATGTAACGCTCCTCCTCCTCCTTTTCTCTTCTTATCTCTTCACGCTTATCGTATCCAAGCATTTCAGCTGATTTCTGGTAACTTTCTTTTGTGTCTGTAATCTCTGCCTTGACACACTCTTTGCAGGCATCCACATGATTGACTTGGGGAACAGCTTGCTGATCCACTTTTTCAGTTTCCCTGAAAAGAAAAGAAAATTTGTATCAATAATGAACACTGTTTAATTGTGAAAAGTTGGTGTGGTCTTGTTGCTCTCTTACAAAGGATACCCACAAAATCCCTGTCTGCAGACTGTGATACATTTGACACATTACGATAAATATGCTCAGCAAAATTCAGTTGCTATCCCAGCTAGACAAAAGTTACCTTTATCGTGCTGTCAAGGAAGCAGAAATTACTTACATACACCTGTAAAAATGACTGAAAATACTAGTATTGTATGAAAGAAGTGTGCAACACAAGATTATGTACAAAAAAGCTGTAAATAAAAAAATCTTCCTATCCTAGGAAACACTGAAAGCCAAAAACCCAAAACTAAGCTGCCAAATGCTCATGGCCAAATAATAAAAAAGTCTTTCATATCTTTGTAAATGCCTCAGGGACTAGTCACTTCTGACCCAGAGGACAGAGCAATATCTACATTTAAGTCAGTACTATTGCCCAGGGAATTTCTATGGCAGAGCTACTCCTGAAGAAAAAATTGCTCCATGCTGCAGTGCACACTTGTTTACTTATTTACCTCATTACCTTAATAACATCAGAAATCTTGACACTAAAATTTGAATACACTATAAAATGAGTGAGGATTCTAAAAGTTTCATGTTGCTTTTGACAAATAACATACTTCATTTTCAATTTTCTTCATCTCCTTAGAACAATAAGCTTCTCAACAACTTCTTTTTCTCTCACAATGTAATTCGTTCTCACTGATCTCAGGGTAGAAACTCACCTCTGACACTAAGTTCAGCTTCCTGAAAGCTTTATGGAAAGCAAATACTGAGTAATGCCATGACAAAATTGTTTTCACTTCAGTCTAATTAAAAAGGCATAGTCTACTTGGGAGTAAGGACATTGGATCAATACTTCTAATGTGGCAGACTTCCCCAATTTTTCTATTATTTCTGTCCTTACACAGAAGATAAAGAAACACCAGGTTTTTTCTTGAAATTTAAATTAAATCTAGAAAGTCTTAACACAATACCATATAGGCTGGAAGAGCCTATATATATATATCATAAGATATACATATAAGTTTTATATATATCAATACATATCTATCTCTATATATCTATCTCTATCTATATATCTATATCTATTGGCCAGAAGAAAGCAGTGTGAGATACTCAGAGAGACCATAACATTCATTTCAATCCTCACCCACAGAAGAGTCTTCCTTCACATGGAGGAGTAGGGAAATAATCACGTTACAAAGCCAAAACATCAAGAAGGCTACTCCAATTTAAAGAAAAGGAAAAAACTGGAAGCACATTTTGGCACAGTTGGTTTTGTTCATTATCAGCTCACACCTGCATAAATTAATTGATATCCATTAACTCTATGCACCTATGATTTACCCATCTTTAGCATTCTTTTCTCCCTTAACTGCATGTCAATCCTAGTTCTAAACACTCATTTGAAACAACTCATTAAATTTCTGTTCTTTCTCTTTTACTTCTCTCTCCCAAAGGCTGCAAATTGGCTGCTGCAGGTGTATGAATCTGCCAACAGAAACTGGAACTTTTTACCGGAAATTCCCTAATATATTATATATACAGAGAAATTAATCCAGGCCACTAAATGCAGGCACACAACTTGCATGCATACACAAATACTGAACACCAGGACTTCTTAATTAATATCAGTTAACTATTTTGCAACAGAATGCAAATTAAAAACAATTATTTCTTTAAAATGTGAAAGAGTTTTATGCACATATCTACCAACAGCAGTGTCAGATATCACCACGGGTGTGATTTATGTAAGACACATTCAATTTTTCTTTAAGAGGTTCTGAGTGGAACTTGCCTCTTGAGTGAGGAGCGCGTCTGCATGAGAGCAGCCTGGTTCATAGCCCGGATCCAGGCGTTCATGTCCTCCTGGGTGTCAGCACTGAAGTAGTACGTCCGCATCCCTGTGTGCTCTGCCTGAGAGCCAATGACAGAATTCTTATTATAAATATATGCCCGCATACCTGTGTGAACAGCCTGGAAGAAAAAAGAAGAAATAGAAGTCAGACAGCTCTTTCACCTTTTCTCCCCAAAAATTAACTTAAGAACAACTTTTCAGATTTCCTGACTGTTTCTTGAATTTGGGGTGAATTATCACAGTGCCACAATGGGCTGTAAGTGCAGTAAACTCACAAGGCCCTCCAAGTTTTACAGAAATTCTTTTGCCTCTTTCTAGAATTATTAAGCTGAAAGTCTGGTGCTTCTGATTTTCACAGTGGGAAATTTCAGCTTTTCTTTCTTTTTTTTTAATTAACACATTTCATTTGCCATAAATACTATACTAAACAAGTTGAAGAAATCCCTATACTAAACAAATTGAAGAAATTCCCAATGAGATGTGCATTAGCAAGTAATTTTTTCCTAACTCAATTAATAAAGAAATTTATTCAGACAAAGCACAGACAAAAATCTTACATTTTAAGCAATTAAACTGCTAATTTAAGAATTGATTATAATGCATGTTAAGATCTTCTGGTTAAAGTGTGCACTTGAACACGTATTAGCTGCAAAGTCACAAGACTTACTAATAAAAGTTAGTAAATACTGATGGAATTATCACAACACACAAAATATTGACAATTGTCTCTGCGCACTAAAATACTCCATGAAATTCCACTGAAAACTAGCGGTACTAGGCAATTTCTCTATAAATATATTCAATATTCAAATGTATTCAATATGGAATTTCTTTATAATTCTAGGCTAGTTGAATTTAATCAGATCTCATCCACATTTGTATTAGCAATAGTATAAATATTACCAAATCATTTAAGTCCAGATACTTCAGATTAGCAGAGAGAGATTCATCTCCTTACTTTCCAAAAAAACTGAAGACAGTATACTCTGCTTGGAAGCTTTTGTAATGATATTAAAATGAAATTAGTAATTTAAACTTATTTTTATAAAAATAAGCCTGCTGTCACACAAAAACTAACAGCATTAAATACTGCTGACACAGCATTTTTTAAAAAGAAAAAGTATTAGAACAAAATTTAAATTTGGCTACATCTGTTTCCAAAGAGTAAATGTATTTTGCAAATTCTGTCTAAATAATTGGTCTTTTTATACTGATGAAATCCTCTGCCCCTCATTATTCTAATTTTTAAAAAAAAATATTGAAGAGACAATCATAGATTGGCTTCAGAAATACAATAGTTTTGACAAAACCCAAGCTATTTAATATAGTGCAGCCTTTCCTAAACATTATAACTTTAGTTGTTTACCTAGAATTTCCCAAATTGCTATGACCTTAGAGACTTGTATCAACAACTCCAAAGAGCAAAATATGTGCTTGATTTTACAGTGCTTTTAAGTAAGCTCTGTGCAAAATTTCCTCCCCTCCTATGGCAGGCTGTTCCCCTGAATGTGTGAAACGTGGCCTTTGCCTTCTGTGCCTCAAGCAAGGAAGCCTGAGTTTGTTTTGGAAACTGGAGACTGAAGCAGAACAGCCAGCTAGAAAAAGGAGAACGAAGAGAAGGAAAAGGTTACATAAAGAAGTCAAGACTCTCCTGCTCTGAAGAGTCTCCACTTCCCAACAACATTGGCCGAAAAGGAAATACAAGGTGGTTTCTTCTCAATTCCCACTATTAGCTGCCTATCTAAATGCAGGAAAACAGGACTTAACACATATTAAACATAGCTCTGACCAATCACATATTTAGAAATCTTTATGATCTTTAAATGACTTTATTCACATATGCCTGGTAGAGTTCTTTGGTTTTCCTTTGTTGTTCTTGGGGGTTGTCTTATTTTTTCTCTATTTTCTGAACATGAGAATGCTCAAAGCAAATATGATTTAGAAGCATTAATTCATTATAATTTACAGTCACCATCCAGTGCATGAAGAGACGAAAAACTGGCAACTCCAGATACAAAGGAAAATGGTGACTTTAATGTGAGACCTTATGACTATGGAGTTCCTTCAAGGAGCAGGTTGATCTCATGGAAGGTGTTAAAATTCAGAAGTGAATCAACTCCTGCAGCAAAGCAGACTATGCATGTCCCACTGCAGATGATACAGTACGACCCAATCATCCACTGGTTTTACTTTCTTTAAAAACCCAGAATTTTGGGTAAATATCTGCACAGACTGCATACCACAACAAGAAATGAATTTAACAGTTGTCTTAATTGACCTGTATGCCCTGCTCAACATAAGCCACTTGTGTTTTAGGTTTCTCTTTGAACACAGCTGCAAGCACTGCCGAAGAGGCTGCAGGTGGAAACAGTATCAAAATGCAAACTGTGCTGTACCTCTCTTGAGAGACTGAAGCTCTCACAGCCATAAACATTCCCAGCCTCAGAAGGGATAGAGGAGATGGTAAGCAATTATCAACAAGCACAATATCCTGAAGTTCACAATATATAACACTGGTTAAGGGAAAAATTCAAATTTATTTTAGTTATTTATTAGTGTGTTTTATATGCAAGTAAGCCACTTTGTGCCAACATCCTGTAACTGTCCCTGCTGGCAGACAGAAGCTAGCAGGCCTTTTGGGTTTGGGATTTTTTTTTTAAGGCCAAAGCTATTAGGATGGCTACAGCATACTAAAAAGCCTAAAACACAGCACATGCTCACCATACACAGAACAGGGAAAAAATAATATTGGTACCTATTCATGCATTCAGACGCCTTAATGTGGACAGATTGAGAAGAAAAGCAGTCTCTCTCCCATAGTGCACAGTAGGAGAAATAGACAGTAAACCCCAAGAGCATATCAAGAGGACAAGACAAGGACAAAAAAAATTAAGCAAATTAAAATCATTAAAATATTTATATTTAACAAAAAACAAAATCAAAAAACCCCATAACAACAAAAACCAAACAAACAAAAAAAGCCCACCAAAAAAAAACTTAGCAAAAGACTGTACTAGAAGTCTAAAAGTAACTAATGCCTACAGCTGTTATGTTAACCTCCACTTGTTCAAAAGACCTAAGAGAGAAAAGTCATCATTCACAGAACAAAGGGATAACTAAAGGAACAGTTGTTGTTTTGTTTTTTTAAAACCATTGAGATCAATGAAACAGATAGAAAGTTTATCCTGGTCTCGGTGGTCTAAGCAATGAGCAAATACTTCCATTAGTAAGACCAATCAAGTCTCATGTTTGAGGACAACAAGGCCTCTGAAGAGGCTGTGATGACATGACCCTCTGTAAACTGATACTATTCCTGTCCAAAGTTATTGTATTACTACAAAGTACAGTCATTTCTCTGTTAATCACAGCAATTCCAGCTATATATTAATATTTTGCAAGCCTTTCCACATCAAAACCTAAACACTGAATTTCTGCTCATTCATATTGGCACCAACAAAAAACTATTTTAAAAAGCAGCAATTAGATTAACTAAATATCTTCAGGATTTGAGCTGCTGAACTAGGGATGCAGTAAGGATCCTGAGTTCTGGGTTCACACACAGCTTAGTGACAGTGGCTTCTACATAGTCACAGCACGTTGCTTGGCACAAATAAAGTGAAAAAATTGTCAAGAGCCAAAAATGGTATTGAGACCTAAAAGCACAGTTTCTAAACAAACAAAAAAAAAATTAAATGCACATGCTGTCATATTTCAAAGGGGTTTGATTGCATTTCAAAAGCCTGTATGCAGTTCTGCAGGCCTGTAATTGTTAAACACTCAAAGAAACACAAAAATTTAAGCTGGACCTCGGGAGGTGATGAAAGGAAAAGGATTTTGGTAACTCCTACAGTGCACATTTTAACATTGTGCAGGCTTTAACACAGACCCCTGTCAGCATGTGCTTTACAAGCCTCCCTTTAACCAAATCATATGCAAAAACCATCCATGTATTTGCTTAGCACATTTCCTTCCTCTGGTTTTGCAAACAAAAGAGTTGAATTTTTTCCAGTTTTGCTGTTTCCCTAGCTTCCAAACCCATTGCCACTTCAAATGGGAGCCAATCCCTCTGTTTCAACAGAAGACTTAAAACCATCCCAATAAAAGAATATGCCAAATGTAAAAAATGCCACAGTGCATTCTCCCACTCATTCAGGTTTTAAATGCAAAAAAGTCTTATCTATATTTTGGCTTTAATCTGCTTGTGTGTTCTATTTCTGGCTGCGCTACGCTGAGAGACAGAATGTCCGTCTATGCTCTGGGTCTGGAGGTGTTCTGAAGAGATAAAGTAATGGCTGCTGAGTGATGGATGCCAGCATGGGTGTGCTCCTGCTGTGGGGTGCCCACAGCCAACTCTGTGACCGCTGAACATCAGTGTTGGACAGGGTACAACCGTACAAAATCCTCCTGCTGTCCTTGGACCTGGGTCTAAATAAAACCAAACTGCAGCATCCAGCCTGCAGTCAATCATCAAACACCTAAAGCAGAGTTAAAACTGGCCTGACAAACTGATACATGAAATCAACTGGATACATGAAATCAAGGAGTTGATTTTTTTTACAGAGTTTTCTAGCATAAACTTTCTTTTACTATCAACACCCTCCTTCTATCTATATCAACCTTTTAGTAATGACCCTGTGTTGAAAGTCTCAAGTTACTGGCTCATGATATTTTCAGAAAAAGACTCAGATTAAATACCTGGTAGAGCTCATATAGGTGTGATATCCTAAAAGGAACAGGGTAAGTCTGCATTTGCTTCTGGAAAGGTTTAACCATACCCAAACCATGGATTCCACTCCACTTGGACAGTGGTGAGTTAAGAGTGTGTGTAAATACCATTTGAATAAAATAAAAAGCAGGGAACCCTAGATGAGTACACTGAAATCCCCTCTTTCAATACGTGATTCCTCCTAGGAAAAGGCTCTAGAAAAAGAGGGCTTTATGAATCACACTCAGTAAATACTGGAGGGGAAATGTTTTTCTTAAAGATTTCTTTGTAGCTTTATACTGATAACTCATGCTCAATGCATTTGAAAAAGTACAATAAACATTTCCACAAAGTACGCTGGGTCTTTTTCAAACACATTTCCCAAGTTAATATTTGTTTAATAAATTTCAAACCATTATCCACTTGAACATAGAAATGAAAGTAATAAAAGGCTGTCTCAATTTTAAAACACCTCAAAAAATCAAAATGCAAGAGAAAGTCAGATGTTCTTCATAATTTCAGCACAGAAAACATTTAAACATTGATTCCTTCTAGATCTCCTAAAGTATGCCTGATCAAAACCTGATTTGTAAATTACTTTTAAAGTACATAACTGATTTGCTTGATAGAAAAACAAGTTCTGCTTTTAATTTAAATCTGCCACAGGCACAGAAGTCTCTGAACTTCGCCTAAGTGCTGCAGTTTTGACAATCATTTAGAGTCAATTTTTTGCACTATCAAGAAGTATATATTTTATTCATATCTGGGGCTTTTATAAGAAAGACTAGAACTGTAAATTATGCAATTATGTTTATTTTTAGAAAAAGAAAAAAAACACAAAACCACCCACAAACTATATCAAACAAGAGTATTTTTTCCTTTAAAAACTCCATACCACTTAGGATGACTTAAGTGCTGTCATTTTCTAACTGTGAGATCTGAGTCAATTCTTTTCTTTTTAAAAAAACCACAACGAAACCAAACAGACATGAATGTCAATTTGTAAGCAAAAAAAAAAGTGCTATGTCACATTTGAACAGGCAGTCAATAAACCTGTCTGCTCTTAAAAACTAGTAACAAGTAAAATAGGAAAACAGATGATGTTTTCTTCAGCAGCTATTCTAATGAAAATAAACTATGATTAGACGATAAGCTTTGCAAATGTACCTTAAAAGAAAATTTACGATTTATACGATCCTCTGGTCCAACTGGAGATATTACGTAACTAGGCAATGGAATGCTCCCCAGAACAGACTCTTCTCTGCTGTCTGTGGAATAAAAAAGTAGAATTTAATTCCCCGCACTCTTCAGTGGGCTAACAATATATTCTCCTTTATGGACACAGAGAAAACAGGCATTAAATAGAAATTGGTCTACAGTGGTTCAGACCGACTGTAAGGAAAAGCATTTTCCCAAGGACAGAGCAGCAGAGGCACAGGCTGCGAAAGAAGCTGTGGCATCTCCATCCTTGGAGCTTTTCAATGCCCAACTTGATTAAGCCCTGGGCAACCTGGGCAGACTCCTTTCCTGACCCTGCTTTCACCAGGCACTGGGATGGGACACTTCTTGAAGTCCCTTCTGATGCAATTTCACTTATGACTCAACACAAGTAATACGTGCAGAAAAATGTTTTAATTTTAAAGTAAAAAGATTGAAGTTTGTTTTCTTAATCAGACTGGGTTTTTATTGAGTTGGGGGTGGGGGGGAGGTTGGATATTGCTTTTTAGCTTCAGCCAGCAGAATACACCTCAAGAATAAAGTTTACTGTGCCAAATGAACAGTGACAGGCTGCAAAACATGATGGACCCTCCATTTAGCACCGTACATCCAGGCTAATTGCTATAATCAGGAAAACTCTATTACTGCTGGCTCCAAGTGATCAACAGCAGAAAGGCAACATCTAGAAATATGAATTTCAAGTCTGATATTCTGTAATGCTTTCCAAGAATTGTAGAACATGACGTATTCAAAACTTGAAAATAACCTTATGTAATACCTAGTTTGGTCTAAGATCACATCTAACCTTTTTTTTTGGTAGAATTACTGGATTCAGAAGTTCTCTGAATCCTACTTTGTCCCTTGGATTGAAATTGAACCAGTGCCCTGATCTGGCCATAGTGCATTCTCAAAAACTCAGACATCCCAGTGCAAGCAAATAGGTACCAGAACACAGACCAGAGACGTGATAAATCTTATTTATTCTAGTCAGATGTTCTTCAAGGTAAACTGTGGCATATACCAAACATAAATCATGTGAAAAAATATACAGCATCCTTTGCTTCCCCTACTCTAGCCTAGAATTTGCTGTGCATTTAATTGCTGTCTGGCCAAGCAATTGTTTGACTGTTCGTCTCAGAACAACTAACTTTATCTGAAGACTTCTGTTAGTTCAGGCATTCACCATGACTTGTACAGGTAAACTGTTCAGACTAACTCGAAACAGCTGTTATCTACTCACCTTTGTAGTAAAACAAACAATAATCAGCAAGCACAAACCATCGTCTCTTCCATAATCGCATTCCAGAGCTATCCTGAAATGCAAGAAATGGGGTACACTTTTCATTTAAAGAAAGTTAAGACATAGTGCTGATCCAGCAAGAAGTTTACCAGAAGTTTACCTAAATATGACTGCTAACTGCAAAACAAATGGTTTGTATCTTAGCAAAATATTGTGTACTAAGAAAGATAAGAGGCAAAACATCCAGCTATAAAATAATGAGTGCAGAACATTCAAACTGCTAATTTTCATTAAGTAATTAAATCCTTATCCCAAACAGCATTCAGATTAACCTTGTACACAACCAATACTTATTTTATCTGCTCAGATTTATCTCCAATAAGGAAACAAGTGTGTTTCTGGATGGCACGAACTCCAACAAAGATTGCCTGCAGACCAAAATTAAAATCACTACACAGCTGGGAAGTATGACCTCACATTCCAGGCAATGACATCCTATAATTCAATCACCATATGTTACCCATGCCTAAAATGTAATTTAATCAAATATTCCTTATGAAATAAAACAGGATGCATAATGTGCAAATTTTAATGAAGTATAATATAATATGCCTGTGGAGGTATATGTATATATATAACCTTGTCAAAATTAGTAATATTTGCATCGAAATTTATTTCTGAAGATTTTAAAATTGCCAGACTATAATCTAGTCAAGTACAACTTCTTCAGCTTGCGTAGGCTTTGATAAAACCAGCAGCATAAAAAGCTCCTTCAGGTTTTAAGGGATTTACAAGCAAAGGTTAGGGGACAGAAGGAAATAGGATATAGAACATTGCTTGAGCTACTTCCCTCTCCTTTCTTCAATCAAATTAAGTATGGAAGGACTTTCTTCCATTCCCATTTTCATGCTACAAGGCTGGCAACACATCCAGTGTCTGAGTTCTGATTCTGTCCTGAAAACTAATGGACTTGGGTTGTGGATATCAACAGAGCTGGGAGCGAAACACAGCAGAATTACATCTCTCCACCCAGGAGAAAGCAGACAGTTGACAGCTATTTCATTTTCCTGTGCATGTAAAACCATAATCGTAAAACTCAGATTTCAGACTTCTCCTGCCCACCCCTAAATCTAGCTGCTTGATCTCTGGTGATAATCTGGTAGACACAGGCTGCCAAATGAAAAGCAGGGGAATTATTCTCATACAACAAACTGCTTTATTTACTTATTACACTCAAAGATGTGTTTCTGTCAGCTTAAGAGTTCAAGACATCGTAGCTGTAGAATTCTGTTCACTGGATGAAATTCTATGACCCTTTGCTGGCTACTAGTCTTGGTGACAGCCACATATGGTGAATGTGTCCCCATTTCCCATAATTTTCTCCCTCCTGCTTCTGGAGAACAAAAAGGCATAGGGACTGGAATTAAGCCTTTGATCAGGGTAGAAGGGCATAACCAAGTAGACAGAATAAAGCCTTCACAGCCAGCCTCAGGCTGACAGTGTTCTGAGGGAGTCAAAGATCAGCCTGACAACAAGCCAGCAGGATAAACCAGTGGAAAATAACCAGATCTAGATAACAAATTTATAGCCTCAACATTCAGCTGTGATGTTGATGTCCATTTATCAGTTTCCTCTTCTGAATCAAACCCATTCGTAAACCTTGGTTTTCAGACTTGCCAAGCATGAACTCCTCATCATGTAATTGTCTGTGGAACAGAATTTTTCGTGGAACAAAAAAGTCTGTGGAAGTACCCAACACTGCCCTGTGTCACCAACACTCGAGCTTCTGCTTTCTCAGTTTCTTGGAAGGCACTTGCTCTTCCTTGATGATTGCATTGAAGTATATGAACAGAAACCAGTGATCACACGCATACCTGTTTGTGCAGCCAGCCTCTTACTATCACAGGAACATTGGGATTCCTCCTGATTGCTTGCTCCCTCTTTCCAAAGGTGTGAACTTTGTTTCCAGTCTTCACAACCTGTAAAGAAGTATAATGTAGCAGTGGTTTCTAAACTGTACTGAGACTCATTTCACATTACAAATACTCTCACTGCAATAACTTCTACTTCATTACACAGCAACAAAGCATTCATGGCATTTTCAAGGGCAAGTAAACAGGCAATGATATTTACAACAGAACAAAGTCAATCTTCCACTTGCATCAGGATGGTATGCCAGCTCCTGCTGAAGAGCAGCAACACTGGTGTGTCAAGAACTGTGGAAATTTTAGTGTGCCTGGGATGTATTTTTGAGGGCTGCCTGCAAATCTCTCTGGACAGTACTGCACAAGTCTCTTACATGCACAGGACTTGGAGCAGATGAATCCCACTCTTGCTCTTCTTTGTTTGGGTTTTTGGTGCATTTTTGATGGGGTTTTGTTTGATTTTAATTTTTCTTTCCTGTTTAAATTCTAACAATATTGCTAGCTTATTAAAATGCTTGGACTCTGGGCCTGCAAACAAAAGAAGACAGTCACACTACCAGGGAAGGGACCTACACAGCAGTCAGTGGAAATCACAAGGACTAGGTAATAATTTGTGCCCTGATGAAACCTCAGTTTTGACTCACATGGACAAAACTATTTCAAAAACAAACAAGCAAGACCCATCCACCTGTGAAAAAGCAAGAATCACTCAATGAGTAATTTGCCTGTTCTTTTCCAGCATCAGCCCAGTTTGCTCCAATTGCTTTAGGACAGACTACCCTTACAGTTGCTGCCAACTTCTCCAAGAAAAAAGATGTCCTAATTCTTTCCTGCAGTGTCTCTCTTTTTAATCTCTGAGCTTGTCAGGGTACAGGTGCTCTGTGAGCTGCAGGCAAACAGAAGCTCTGGAAACAAGTATATTCATCACACACAAATGGTAACATCAGAAAAATATCTCAGTGTACTGCTCCTGCCAGTCAGGCAACAGCTGGACTAGAATACAGCGTATAATGTAAATAATTCTAGCAAAATATTATAACTTCAAATTAATTCTGTTGATTTGATTGATGAAGGTCAGACTTTACCAATCTGCACCAAACTTCCTGTCTCAATGACGGGTTAAGATAATAGCTATAATCAGTATGAAAAGAATGCACTTCTTTTCTGGTGCTATTGCATCTGAAACAGCAAGGTAGATGTAACAGTTGTGAGGAGCTATCAAAGGGCAGGGTTTCCCCACCTCCCCAGACAGCTCAGTGAGAGCCTGCACAAGACCCACCAGTGCCCCAGGGCACCACAGGTGGTCACTTAAGAGAAAACCCACACTTGTCCACCTGTCCAGGGTTGTTGGCACAAACCCAGCAGAGCAGGTTGTAAAACATGTTTCTGAGGAGGTGCACCTGTCACCCAGCTGGCAAAAACCAGTTCATAGCAAAAGTCAGCTGAGGATGGTGTCACCGAGATCTCCCAGGCTGTGTCTCTGCCAGACCTGTACTAAGGAACCCAGCTAACAGGCTGCAGAGCACTAGCTTTGGGCAAACACAGCCATGTATGGACTTCTTTAAAGAAAAATAAGAAGTAAACAATATAGTTGAGTTTTTAAAAATTGTTGCCAAATGTTAAGATGCAACAGCTACATTAAAAGGGTGATGAAAAATAATGAGGCCCAAATTTGTTAAAGCTCTGAAAGTCAAAAATCTATTTTTATTTTGTTTTTACTTTATTTATACTTTGTAGCTGAACAGAAATCAATTTACACAATGTACAGAATTTAATTCCCTAATTTTTCTCTCATGTAGATCTTTGGAAGGGTGGAGGAAATGAGGAGTAGTTGAAGTATACCTGATTTAGCCTTACAGCAGCATTTAAATTTAATTTTTTTTAATCATATATTTTAATCAAACATTTTCTCTGATATTAATTTTTTAAAAATGCAGACCACAATGTGGAAAAATCATCCTTGGACTTCGTCAAAAGATCAAACAATTTCTATGGCAAAGGAGCAGGAAAATTTTTTCAAAGGCTATGCATTAGATGTCAAACCAATACCCACAACGGAAACAAAATTATCATTTCATGGTGCTTTATATAATTAAAATGTTCATATAATCTTCAGTATTGATCATCTCATTTTGCTCTGGAATAAAGCAAAGCATAACAGATACTGCATGTCATGCCTTGCTTTCACCAGCTAGACTAAGAAACTGGTTTAAAAGAAAAGGTATCTTTTTAAAGTATTTCTCCACACTGCAGTAGTCTTCTCCTAACTTAAATTATTCTGATGTCATTGTCATGAGTTTAAAAATGCAGGTCAGCACAGCTGTCTGTATCACTGAAGACACAAAAGTCACTTTTGACTTCAGTACATTTGTTATGCTGACTTGCTTTTGAATGACTGCTAAGTTTTTTTCAACAAAACGCAAAAATGGCAAGAGCTAACATTATCAAACCCCTTTTCATCACTGCCTCATCTTCTTACAGTAGCTTGTAGCTGAGGAGGAAAGTTGCTAACTTAATTATGTAATTTTTTCTTTCTTTTAGACAGAACTGACAAAAAAAAGCATAGATAGACTTTTATTTGGAACAGATTTTTTTAAACAGTAAACAGGAAGACTGTATTTTGTTCAAAATATGCAAATACATATGCATAATAAAACATGGAACTTTCAACCTAAAATGAATTTAAAAAAATCAACCCACAAAAAGCCACCTGTTTAAGTCAAACTAACTCAAAAAATCTCAGTGTTTCAGTTCGAAATGAACTTATGAATCCTCACAGTAGCTCTAACAAAATGATACAAAATCCTTATTTTTCAGATACAAAAAACAAACTCTCCAAAAATCCTGCTCTTTATTTTGAGCATTCACATACAGTGTGTCTGTGAATTAGACCCTGTGTTTCACTCCAGCTCCAGACAGCCCCAGAGCTGGCACACCACATACCTGTCACCACTGCTTGCTCTAACTGCTAGATCCATTCTTCACTTGCATTCCTCACCAGTTTATGTCAGAGAAATACCAGCAACTACCAGTGTCATCAACAACTCAATGACTTCTGTTATGCAGAATCCATCCAAAACATGGTCTCAAAATGTAGATAGTAAAAACACCCCCTACTATCCTTTCATTTTTGACTTGGCCAAAGCCCTGTGTAGCACAGTAACATTTACAAACTTCCATTCACACCACCAGATGTTTTAACAGCCTAAATTCCAAATGTATTTTACTGTCAAACCAAAACAGATCCTTATTCCTCCATAACCTTAATTATTAATCAATATAAATGGCTTTTAATGTGGTTAATGATGTAACTGAATTGGCGATGAACAAGCAGATCTTTGGGACAGAGAAAAATTGGAGTTTATCAGAATGCCCTTTTGCTTCTCATTCTCTCAACCCTATACCCCTTAAATGTCAAAGAGTAGGATGGGCTGCATTGGTCTGAAGTCTTTAGATGACTTACTCAGATAGTTCCTATATCAAAATACTGTCCCGAAATGTGCACAGCTCTATAGAAAAAAACCAGCCTGAATTTGGCCAGGATTCTGACACCATGCATACACCAATCTGTGACGGCATTTGCAGGACCAAATTATAGAAGCTTTTCATAAAAAAACCCCAATAATTAGCCATGGTAGCCATAGTAGAGAATATGAACATGTCTCTGGCTTCATGTCTGCATCTGGGAACTTGCTCTTTGAAAGAATGATCATGGAATTCAGGGAAGAAAACATTTAGACAGAAGGACCTTAAAATCTACTTTCAACCTGCCGAAAGTCAACCTCAAAGTGGAGGACACAGGGTCTTTATTTTACACCCTTTTTTCTCATTGAAATCATTAAAATTTCACTTGAAATAATTTTTGTGTTAGGCTGTGAAGGAATTCAACAGATCTTCTGACTTTACAAAATGAGAGAGGTGATTTCAAGCCTGTTAACATGCACAATGATGAAACAAAGAGCATGTAAGAAAGATGCTGGTTCATCTAAATTAAAACTCCAGTATTTGTTAAGGACCCAAAGTAGAATGGATCTTATAAAAACAAACTTGGTGGAGAAGCAAAGTACTGGCAAAGCCTCTGTGAGAGTTTTATTTCTAAGTCTAAAGCTGCCATGTGTTAAAAAAAATCCACACCTGGGAGCTTGCCAGAAGCATACATAGCCACCCTTATACTGAACTGCAAACAGAATAGAAAGAGACCCAAACCAGACCAAGCAAAGTCTTGTGAGGTGATTCTGGATACTCTCTAAGCTGTGACAAAAAAAGCACTACCCGCCTGTTCAGCTGTGTGGTTCTGATATGCCCAGTGAATTAGCCTCTAGCATGTGGGTGGCCTGGGAGTGGAATCCAGTCCCCATTTTTCTGACTAGATCAGTGCAAGCATGGGATGAAGGGAGGAGAAGCAGGGGTCAGAGGATGCACACTTTTTGGCAGAAGTGTGATCTTGGCTAAGTTAAAGCCAACTGTGTCCCTGGAGAATTCCTCAGCTCAAAGCACCTATCAGGTCCCCAGTAAGTTTGCTGGTTTAAAGTAGGAAAAAAATTATCTTTCTGCCTCTAATGCAATCTTTAAAAAAGCAGAGTAAGGAGGATAAATAGGGTAAAAACAAATGCTGACATACTTCGGTAAGTTCAACTCTTCAAATATCAAAAAGAATTGCTTCAACTAATTCAAGTAACCTATTATGCTTACTGTTTGCAGAGATAATTTCATCTAACACTTTAAAGATAAATTTATTCTTGAGATTTGATACATTACAATCTTTGTGTTGGTCCAATCACTTATTAACTGAGAGTTTAAAAAAAAATATTTTAAAAAATTATTTTTTGGCTTTTCATGAAATTGTATCATCTCCTATACTCAAGTACATCAAAACATTAGTAAAAGACTTTAAGTATTCCAAATAAACAAAGTATCTTTGCAATCAATGCGATCAAGTCCTTTCTCAAACTCAGTTACATAAGAGGCTGCCCACTTTTACATTTAGGAAAAAAACAACAGAAGTTTAAGAACTGCAGCCAAAGTTAAGAAAATGATCTTACCTCTGCTAATTATTTCAATATTGCTCTATGCCTTTTCATCCAGACACTACCATTCTCACTGTTCTGTAATTTATTGTAAGGTCAAAGAAGCATTAAAATAGATGGTGACACTTCAAGTACAGCACTTCATTATATTTTGTTCAATAATGGACACAGGTCCTTTGTCAATGACAAGGAATGGACTTTTCCATCATTAAACATTAAGTGTGGGAACTTGGTGCCTGCACTGCTTGTGCACCGCAGTGATGAAGAAAAGGATTTAATTGTTACTAAGAGGAGGAAAGGTAGTAAGATTTTATGAAAAGGTAAGAACTGCAAATTCCTGGTATCATGCATCACTTCTTGCCATACACGCTGGACCATCAAAACACTTGCTTAAATCCTAATATTACATATATTTACTTCCATTTGTGAGACTCTCAAACTTTCTATGTCACAATAATCATTCTGTTAGAAGTTACCATTTAATGCTACCATGTGGGTATACAGTGCTTCTAAAAGAGCGGTAACAGTGCTATTACTGCTGCATACAGTGCTGTTAAAAGATTTGTGTCTGGGTAGAAGATACTGCCTCTTCTCTGAGATATTACTAAATTGCTAGGCTAAATCCACAGCCCTACTGAAATCAGCATAAGAATACTGGACTTAAAATAAGTGAAGTTCTGATCAACAAGCTGAAAAAATAGCTTTTTCTTTTACCTTGGAGCCGTGTTTTGTATCAACAGCAGATGTAGTTACTGCCGTGGACGTTTCACTGACCATGCTTGAAGGCCTTTGGTTTATTTGTTGGTTGGACATAGATGAATTCTGTCTAGAAAGCAAACAAAACCAGGTAATCTAAAGCACATTGTTTCAAACATTGTTTGGCCTTATTATATTTAAAATTCACAGTGTGAAATGAATAACAAGTTAGTCAAATATTTCCCACGCATCTACAAGTTCCTTTGCACCACTCCTGCTATTTTGATTTCAGGTCTTTCTCAGGCAGTGACATCTGATGATTGGTATTAATCTATGCATCAGGAGGGAGAAACCTGCCAAACTGTATGCAAACCCAAGTGAGAACCAAGATATAACAACAAGTGTGGTAAGAGAGAGGATAAGGCCTATGCAGAGAAACCAAACTGTGGCCAATTTAGGGACCTGGCCACAAACCTGTGAAAGAGCCAATACTGGGGAGAAAATCACCACTTAGCAATAAAACGCTTTTTATTTAAAATCAAACTGAATCTAGACTGCTGTTAGATCTTTCACTAACTTAATGCTGTCTCTTTGAATCTACCCAAAATATGATTCACAGCACAATATGAATTATTAAAATACCTTTTAAGCAAAATGGTGCAATTCATGGCAGATAATTGTTAGAAACGTGTAATTTCTGAGTCATCCTAAGATTCCAGAAATCCTGATAACTAGCTCAGATATCCATTTAAAGCATAAGTGAAGTCAATCCTACCAGAAGAACCTGTTCAACAAGTAAAAATTCAGTATAGCCACCCAGAGAAGAATTGAGAGGATAAATGGAACGGCAAAATAAAATCTCTGTGAAGAGAAGCTTCAGCAGTCAAGCTTGACACCAGCATCAAATGAAATTAAAACCACAGGTGGTATTTTCAAAAATCATACAACATAATTTAGCAAATAACAAGTAGCAATACAGTCACATTAGAAAAGAAAACACAACAAAACAAATAATTAACAACACATGATTTTCCTTTTCCCTGTCACCAAAGCCATTTATTAGAAAAACCAAAAGTATACAAGCTACACCAAACAGTTGCTGCTACCACTGAAATTTTCTGAGCACAACAGAAAACAGAATAATTCTGGGCAGTTATCACCATTACCATGAGAACAGAGAAGAGCCTGTGATTTTAGTAGCTCAACACAAGGTTTAACAGAAGACAAAGTATTTGCCAACACAGCTCTTCATCAGTTACAACCTGAACAATTATCTGTCCAAAAGCTTGTATAGGTGGTTTGGTGTTAGAGAAAGCTTATTTTTCCATTTGTGACCAGGGTTTCAATGAAGCTTGCAAGTAAGTAACAGAACTTCGGTCCCATTTTATTTATACCTTGCGTATCTGGCATAAATTCCTTCTTTCTAGATTTTATGTAACACACCTCAGTTCCAAGACATAGGAAAAACTAACAGCAAGCCCCTAAAATTCCTGGCCATCCTTTAAAGCAAGAGAACTTAAATCATGTCAGTTTGACTTAATTTGCCTCACCCCTTATGGACCAGATACCCGACTTCAGCATTTAATCACACTTTAATCCAGTCTCTACAAAATGTAGATTAAGAAACTTCCCATATATGACACTGCCTGACTAAGCTATTTCAGTTGATGAAGTTGATTTAAGTTTTGACAAATTGGAATTAATTTTTCCAATAAAAAATTAATGGAGAAGAAGGAATATCCCCAGAGGAATGATTTTAATTTAAAATTTCTACTCTGATTTAACAGATTTTCACTATTCCCCAAAATATGGTTTCACAGCAGGTTAAACATACTGCACTTTCAAAAAAAAATTAAGAATTACAGAGGAAAATAAGCTATATGTTTAACAAAACCATCATGAGAAAGTCGTAACACAATACAGAATGATAAAAACGTAATTTCTAAGCATTTATTATGTGATCATACAGTGACTTCTCTTCCACTTGCTAATGAAAGTGATCACTTCCAAGAAATCAGGCTTTCCCTCTCTAGTAATATAAAATTAATGATGAACTACAAATTCACAAGCAGAAAAATGCTTTTTGAAAAAATGTGAGGTTGTTGCCATGGAAAAATTCAAATAGCAAGCAAAAGAGATATTAAGCCCATTGAAAGAGAAAATACATTATTATTCTCCTATAAAAAGTCTTCAGCAGCAAACACTGATGATGCAAATTTGCTGTACTCAACATCTAACAGAAAACACAAAACAATACTGCATATTTATCTCCATATTGTATATAGTATTTCAAGGATACAGTAGGTTTTTTTGCATGAAACCTGACATGAAAGTCAGGTATTCAAGTCTCTCAACAACTAATCAATATTCTCAGTGTTTTTAAAAGCAAATAAAAACAGGCAGAATATGCAGAATTACCTGAAACATCCTGGCATGTTAAGGGAATTAACACTGTCCTAGCAGTATTTACAGATTCAACTTGAAAAATAAGTGACTACAGCATTGACTCTGTGCATTCAGAAACATTAGTTTAAAGTTACTATTACCACAGATGTTTGATAATATCTGTTATGCAAGATACCCCATTCTGTCTTCGTAGTGATGGTGTTTTATTATTTTCAGGCTAGTTTTCCTCCTGCCTCCCTCAAGTGGTGTGAATACACACACACACAATTGCAGTGTGTCCATTTGGAACTCCAGTACCCTGTAAATTTTTTTACGTACTTGAAAATAACACTCTATATAATATCTCCTGTCAAGCAACTAACTCCCTGCTCTACTTAAGCATTGCTAGCATGTTGCCTGAAAAACCATATTTACCAGCTGAAAAAATTACATAGCCAACATTTGGGTTATTAAAAAAACCCAACACTGAACAAGAACAGTAATAAAAAAGACTACACCAGTAGCCCATATTGAAAATGCAATACTCACGAGAGATCATAAAGATCAGTCGACTTGAAAGATCCACATCCATACCAGTACTTAAAAAGTTTATTTGTTAGAATCAGACACGATGCAGTAACATTGTGTCAATCTAGCTTTATTACTAATAAATTTCCTAATCAGCTAGATTTAAAAAAAAAACAACCACAAACAACAAACAACTCTCCTAGTGTTTCTACACATAAACAAGGTATTTCTTTTGAGGTTGTTTGGGTCTCCTCTTTCCTCTCCACCTGATATTTTTGCTGCTATAGTAACCAAATGCAATAGATAAAATAAGATGGCTCTCTCCCCAGAGGTGATACACAGGTTTTACCAGGCACAGAAAAACAGGCAAGCAAGAGAATTGCACTCATTGGATTTAAGCACACTATATTTTTTCTTCCATATGTCTACATTTATGTTCAAGTCTTATCTTTTTTAAAGGAGTAGCTTCTCATTTGCAAACACGTTGCTATGACAAATATCATACAGCTCCTAATACACAACTAGTACTGTTTAACATTAGTTACATGGCTGTACCTGCCTGATTCTTCCTTTCTGTCCACAATTACTTAAAGAACTGTTATTTAACAAAGATATAAGAGGAGAGATCTAAACATGATATACAGCTATCCTAAGTAATTCTATCACAGACGCTTTTCAGAGAAATGCATACATAACAATGTAGTTAACTAAAAACCTAACACTTGTCCGGCAGACTCATCATTAATTCTCACTTTTCCATTGGTTAAGAAAGATCCCTTCATGGATTAAGGGCTCATTAAAAACATGAAAGCAAAGCACAGAAATTAAGGGGCAGTTATGAAATGGAAGGCCTTCCCATACAGCAAGATACTCAGATTATTTCAATGTGATCCTAAAGCCTGTGAGGTGAACAAGTAAAAAGAAAATAAAAATTATGCTAGACAAAAACTGAAATGCTGGAAGAAACAGATAGAAAATAATCTTCAGATACAAGCAACCATGATGCCAAACTGAATTCAATCCCAACAGAAAAGTAATTCAAAGGAGAATGAAATAAAAAACATCTCTGCAGCTTTTATCACTCAAAACATTACCAAGGAAAGGTTATTTTTAAATATCAGATCAATGAGTAACAGCAGCCAAAGTATGTTAATAATTATTAGTAAAGGAATATAGAAGGAAAAGTACAATTAAATTATTATAACAAACAATGAGCTCATAAACTGAATCTTGCCATCACCTATGATCAATCATTCTGCCAGAAATTAAGAAACCTAGAAGTGACATGCAGAAAAGCTGGCTCTCAAGCAGAGCTAGTGAAAGGTACAGAAAACACATCCCACACACCAAGTGACCAAAGCTGCTAAACTTGGAAAACAGTTCAAGGTAGGCATTTGATAGTGGTCCCAGCTAAGAATGTTTTAGGAAATAAGGAATTACTAATCACTATTTAAAAGAAAAAAGAAATCGGAATTAGAACACCTTTAGAAAAAAGGAATAGTGTAAGGATCAAAAGATAATGGAATTCAAAAGTCACAGGTTCCACCTACAATGGAGTTGAGAAAACCAGATTTCAGATTGAAAAGCAAAATTGATGTGATATTGTTTAAATGCCTTGGGAAAAGACTAGTGAAATACAGTCTCAGCCTTCTACTGAAAGTATCCAGTTCTCATTTGATCAAGTGAATCAAGGGTACTTGGTTCACAACTGAGTCATAATCAAGTTAGGGTTACATCATTCATTGGTGTAATTTTCCAAAACTTGCTCCCAAATCTTCTTGCCAGAACACTTATTCCAGCATGAGGAATGGCCAGGGCAGTCCCCACATTCATCATTTCTACATGACTGTAAATTACTTTTCTGATGTAAAATGTGTCCTTTTAAATACATATGTGTGTTGCAGCCCGAACAAGTTTGTGCTCACTTCTCCCCACTAGCTCCCAATCAACATCTGGTGACAACTCCTTGGCCCTAATCTTAAATTAAAATCAACCAGTCAGTAATAAATCATGTTGCAACAGCATTGAAGAATAAATCAGCTTTTATGAAACCCTTGAGAATGCTACTGCTTCAGATAGGGTTCTTCAGCTATAGGAAAAGGTAGTCTTGGTCAAAGGGTCCCAGGATGGAAAGTTTCCGCAGACCATGCCAACCCAGAGACTGCTTCTCTGACCCGAGTCCTTCTGGTGGAAATCATTTCATCACATGATAGGGATCTACAACACTGATTCCAAACTGATACATGATCAACACCACAAGAAATCCCAGATGCCTGAGGGAAAAGGACTGAAAACAGGCAAAGCTCCACTACAGTTCTTAGGCCTTAGGACAGGGAGGTGCCAACAACTCTGATTTCAGCAGACATGTCCACATTATGTCAGCATCATCACCTGACAGAAACTCACACATGACCATGATGAAGAGCCTCTGTGGAAACCCCCACTGCTGCACAGAAGTCGTACAAAACTAAGGAAATCAGAGCATCCCACACATTTGAAAAAGACATTTTAAAAGCAATTTTAACTGACAGATTAAACACATCTGATTTTAGAAACACTCTATGTTCTTCAGGCCAATAATAAAGCTTAGAGAAACATTCTTGCAAAGATTGTTTCCAGAGCAGTGACTAGAAACATTTACTCTTCTCTCTATCCCTCCAGCCATTCCCTCTTTTAGAGTTAAAACCACCTCTCTGTACCAATTCTACCACAGTATAAGATTTTTCCTGGTTTTTGATACCATGTCAGTGTGAGTAACTAAAGTCTACATGTTCATCAGACTGCCCTTCAAATAAGGACTTCCATTTCTCTTCCAAAAAAGTTTCTAACACACACTAAAGATCACTAAAGCCATGTGCCACCAACAAGTACTTCTTTCAATGCTGTTTTTAATATTTTACCAGCTACCATGACTACAAAATGAAAAACAGCCTAGGCAAGTGTGACTAATCTGGGCAGGCACTCCAAGAGGTTATCCAAACACCTATTTCCCAGTACATATGTTTAAATGCATATTAAATTTGACTGAACCTTTACAACAGATAAATTAAAAAGCAATTAACAGATGAAGTTGGAACACATGCTCAGTGGCTGCTGTCCACACTTTCTGTGAGATTTGCTGATTTGCAACATGCCTGTTTCTCCTCACTAGGAAAGTGAGGTGGAGGGGCTTGTTTCGTACCTGTAAATGAGCTAAGCCCAGCTGAGCAGCAAAGCACCCACATGCCATGGGACAGCTGAGGTGACCTCCAGCTCAGCAGCCATCCCACAGCCTTCATATCTAATCACTGTCCTCTCCCACAATGTTATATTTCACATTAGTTCTCATCAGATATCTTAACATAGAATTGGCCTTGGCTTTGCTTTGACTTGGAGGAGAGCAACTGCTTGGCTAGTGTTATTTTAGGAGGTTTGCTGCTATTGTTGGTTTTGGTTGGTTGGTTTGGCTTTTAAACTATTTGAGAAGTTCTTCTCAGGGCTGTATCAGAATCTCTGAGCTCTACAGCCATGTTCTACTTCTCTAAGTGACAGGAGAAGACATTGCTGGAAAAGGCTCAGTCTGCTGCGAGTGTTGAATGGCCTTCCTCTAGGCCTCATTTTTCCTAATGCTGTAACAGCTTTTGACATTTTACCAAAATGTAAAGCAAATTAAATACCACAGAATTTGAAATGTAAAGAGCTCAGAATTGTGGAGGCAGCCACACAAACCCCACATCCAGGCCATCACAGCAGGATGCCCAGACTGCAACACATGAGGAGATAGAAGCTGCTTGAACAGCACTGGGAAACTGGCCTGGAAAAGAAAAATTGTCTGGTGTTGTCCCATTCTTCTTGCCCTTTGGTTTTAGAAGCAAAGCAGAATTTTGTCCAAGATTCTGTTTTCTGTCTAGGGAAGATACCCAGTCATTCCATTAGAGAAAGATTGCATGAGCAATCTAGCATGCAGCCAGGATGACAAGAAGGAGTTGGAGCCTACAGAGAAATGGTGCATGACCCAATCCAACACCAACCCAAAGGTGACCAAATTCACCAGATTGAAAACATGCATTTCTTACTTTTGCCTGTTTGTCTTTTTTTTTTTAAACAATCAAGATAAAATATGCTGGAAACAAATATATTCAACACCATTTCTCTAGAAAAAAGAAAAACAGCTGACCAATGTAGAACATCTTACAAGTAAGAAAACCAAGGAAATACATGGAAAACTAGTAGTATTTTGTGCATTTCAATTTCAGTACAAACCTTCCAATATGCTCCAAAAGCACTTTATGTTCTGTTTACCTGATATTTATATAAGACTAAAGCATTATTGTTTAAGTATATTTTGTAATTTTTTAATTAGTTTATTCTTGGGTTTGTCTGGGGTTTTTTTAAGATTTTGATAAAGATTTTCCCTCAAGTCCTAGCATGGAATCAAAAACATACTATCACAATGAGAAGCACAATGTTAAGCACAAACCTCAATTAAAATTTTTTACAGTATTGGAAGAACTGTCATTAAATTAAAGTACTAAGCTAATGTAAGCAAATGTGCTACTGTTTTACATCTCTTGACATGGGTATAAAACTACTTACTCTTCTTGCAAAATAAATTCAATATTTTCTGGAGAAACCTGTCCTGTCACAGGATGTCTAAATGATGTGGTCTGCTGATTATGGCTGAAAAGAAAAAAAAAAGAAAAAGGAAATTAATATTGCTATACTCAGTAAAATATGCTCTCTAAAAGGCTAAACTTTTTATATTGATGTTTTACTACTCTATTCCAGGAATTAAACATATTTTTGAGGTACTTTTCAAGTCTGAAATGTTTTCAGCTCCTTCCTATATTCTTGTCAACTTTGCCAATGGCAAAGTACCTTTTAATTACTAAGCAGGTTAATGTTTTAAAAGTAAACTAGTTGCAATCTTTAGTTAGTGAGACACACGTGAATTTATGATTATTTACACCTGGCTGTTACCAGATTATTTAGATATAGCATAGAAATTACACAACACAAATGTCTGATTTGTGTTTCTGCAAATTTCACAGAATAGCACCAGTAAAATAACTTGAAATGCTACTCAACAATATTTTACACAATTTTTATTATTTAATGAGGTCACCGAGAGAAATTATATTGAAGCCATTTCTTGCATGTTTCTTTTTCTTCTAATATGGTATTTCTCCAAAGATTTCTCTTTACACCTTCATGCAGAGGACCACATATAACCTTAGCTGGCGGCTGCACAGTCTATATAAAACATTATTTAGTATTTCATCAGAACTTAATTAAAATCAGGAGTTTCTATAAACCTTCTAGACATTTTGCTATCCTCTGTGAAACATTTATTTTCATTAAAGATATTTATCTTACCTATCTGTGAACCAAGAGCTCACTATTTTAAGAATCTAAATTTTTCTGGGTTTAGTTAACAACTCTTAGGTAAGCAACATCCAAAACCAGAACTCACATCAAATGTAGCAAAATAGTAACACAGTCTGGGTATATTCAAAAGGGAAAATAACAAAGCCATTCAAAAAATTGTATGTCAAAGACGCAAAAAATGAAAACTTAATGTGTTTTCTTGTTTAAAGATTTGGAGTTTTTCCTCTTGTAAAGCCTATTTGGTTTCAAGCATTACAGATTTGACCCTGTTTCCCAGCATACCAGGACATCCCCCAGCACAGAATAAGGCATAAAGAAATATTTTGAGGTTCCAGAGTAATGAGTTCCTAAGAGAACACTCTGCTGACTAAAGGACAGCTAACAATCAAACAGCTCACACAGCCATAACATTCCAATGGAAATAGCTCAGGACATGTCTTGATTTAAAAAAACAAACCAAAACCAAGCAAACCAAAACCAAGCAAACCAAAACCAAGCAAACCAAAACCAAGCAAACCAAAACCAAGCAAACCAAAACCAAGCAAACCAAAACCAAGCAAGCAACCAACCAACCCCTATCAACAACAAAAACCCACAAACTGCTCCTGTTAAGTCTCACTCGGGCAATAAACACAGAGACTTTCTGGTGTGTTATAAACTTCTCACTCTTTTCCAACACACCTTGCTACAGCAAGTCAGATATAAGGAGCCTATATAATGAACATTTCCATGATAAACTGGAAGCTGTAACAACTTATGCAACACCAGAAGACCTTTTTCCAGCCACACCTATTACAAAAATACTCACCCTAGAGCCATTGGAAACTGTGAACAAGATACGGGCTATCAATTACTCCACTGCACCAGGGTTGGCCCTCAGACTCTAGACTGCTGAGAACTGACCTGTTCTACAGCTGTGGGTTAATAAAGTTTAATAAAGGTTAATAAAATATCTAACTATTGAGAACCAATGTTCCTAAAGAAACATTTCTATTTGAGGTTTCATTTTGTGTTTATATCCTAAGAGTGGGATAGGAACTTGAGATTATCTCAAAGAAAATCATAAATAAATAAATAAACTATAACCCTAACAATTAAACTCCATGTTTGTCACACAGTCCACTGTGGCCTTTCCTTTCAAATCATGACAATGCAGTCTGTTTAACCTTAGATGCTTAGGTTAAGACTGCTGTCAAAACAAGTGCAGATACCTTGTTAGCTTAAAAAAATGAAAGTACCTTGCCAGCTATATTCTCCAGGGGCAGAGGAACTGCCTACAAGCTCTCATCTGCAGGTTCTCAGACATTAATAACTCACCCTTCAATTAAGACTAAGAAAAAGGACTGTATTCCAGAAGTCTTCTAGGCTTATTCAGGAAGGGAAGTTTGCCATTATATCATACTAGCATGTACACAAATGGTTTATTCTATAAATTCTGGTGAATAAATTCATCAGAAGATGAATTAGTCCCTTTAGTTGCAAATAAAGAGCAAGTACATTACTAATAAGACTAAATATTATTTACTAATAATAATGATTTCAGCTGAAAAGTAAACGCTTTTGAATATCTGAGCAATGCATTTTAGGACAAGTTTTGCATGTTAAACAAACACTTCAAGCAGAAGGATGTCTCTGTTGCTGAATAAAATGCAGACGGTAATTTCACAGACAAGGAGAGGGCACATAAACCCAAAACTTCCTGCAAATCTGCAGCTTCAATACATAGGACTTCACTGGGAAGAAAGAAATGAAACCCCCACCACTAACAATTAGTTTTGCAGAACACAGTGGTTTATTTGAATTTGAAAAGTGAGAGTTTAAGTGTTTTGCCTCACAGGACTCATTAAGACTAAGCGATACTATTCAAAACAACCTATACAACAGATGGCTAATGCCTTGCAACAAGGAATTAGATAGCAGGGAGATTTTCGCTCACAATGAGAGCAGTCAGACATTGGAAGAGGTTGCCTAGCAAGGCTGTGGAATCTCCTTCCTTGGAAACATCCGAAATGTGGCCAGATAAGGCTCTGAGCTACCACAAACTTTATAACTTGGTTCCAACTTTGAAGCTGGCCTGGCTGGATGTGATGGGGTACAGAGCTTCCTTCCAACATAAATTATTCTGTTCTGTCATTCTCTGCTGCACCCTCTATCCTTTCTCAGCAAATACAATTAAATTCCTATAATACCTTTGAAGCTTTCCCCATATTTAAATGGATTTATTCCAAAACTATTAGCAATACCTTGTTTTTATCAGGATGAGAGAAATGGAATAGTTAGATTTTTAGATTATTTTTTGTTGTTGTTTTCAGGACTTTTAAACATTTGCTTAACAGTGATATCTGTTTACACAGCACTGATAACAATAACATCGCCAGTCAGAGTGCTCTAAACTTGTTGCAGCGCAAGTTTTCCTTCCTTTCCAAGCACAGACTAAGAAAAGACCTGACACAGTTGGTCTCTGGACACATTTAATACACACAGGTATTTAATCACCTGTATTTCCTCCAAAATGGCAACTACTGAATGTGTTCCTGTTGTCCAGAAATCTACCACGTACAACAGGCACAATAAATGTGCCTTAATAAAAGGACTGTTCCACTCTCCATGCCCCTTCTATTCTTTTTTATTTTCACTAGAGAAAGATTTAATAGCTTCAATAAAACTGGGAAAGGCTTACGATGCTTCACCATGAGAATTCTGAATGCTCTAGAGTATGCATTAGTACAACACCACACATTTCAAATGCCAAGCTAAGTTTTCTAGCAACACTACGAATTTTCTGTGTGATCAATTATGGCATTTTTTCCCAGCAACCATCTTTTAAATTTAATAGTTTTATATTATTCTGATTTTGTACATATATTGGTAATCAGTCATGAAAGCAAAGCAAGTATAAAAACATGAAAAATCCATTAAAAAATTACATTCATTACTATCTAACCCCTAATAGCATTATTAAATTACACTACAGACTGTTAGAAGTTATTCTGAATTTCAAAGTTACAGAACACCACTTTCCAAGGCTAGTAATAGCTAAGACTTGGATTCTTCATTAAAAAATCGCAGTTCAAAACCCATTTCTTTGTAATTAGATACCTCACCACAAATTCCATTATTTCACATCATGTATACACAACTTTTACCAACATAAGAACTGAGTCACCCACTCTCTTAAGACAGATGCAAACCAGGCTCTAACCCAACAGTACAATGGAAACAGGCAGGCACTTTTGTGTGCATGGATTCTTTTGCAGAATTCATAATTAATATTACTTCAATTTATTTTGTATTTGAGTCAAAGCCAAGTCCTAATTATTAATTTTTGGACATGACTGATGCTGATGACCTTCCATTTGAAGTCAAGCAAGTGTATAGATTGTCTCTGGAGTAATTTAAATGCACAGGCAGCTGAAACTTGAAATGTGTGAATCAACTATTGATGGAGTCTACATCACATTAACAGCAAATTTATAAGTTGTGAGAAAAATTCACGTTGTGATTGGACTGATGCCCTGCAAATTATTACAAGCCATTTGTAAAGAAATTATTTTCCAAGCAGGCTGACTCCTTTACATTTACCTCTAAGACCAGATAAGCATAAACACCTTGATGTTGAATACCCCAAATGGTGATGACAGTTCCATGTGGGTACCCACCCACACTTTCACGGGTGATTTTGGTGTGGGTGCCACTGACAGAAGAACTCATGCAGTGAAGAACTCTTCAGCCAATGAGCTGTTACTCCAAACAGGAGAAAGTGCTTGTATCTAATCAGGCAAACAGCCACGAATAGTTTGTTTTATTTCATAACCTATTTCTGAAGTACATCCATGGCTTCAAAATAGTTTCAGTGCTGCCTTCTGAGTATTTTTTGGATATTAAGAATTGGTTAGAACAAGTACCAACAAATAGTCCAAGAAAAACACTGCCCTCAAAGTTCTGCAAGCTGGAAGAAAAGTGCAGTGTAATACAGATATAATTTGGAAGGATTAGGAACAAGACCAACTAATTGTATTATACAAGCAAAACTGCCTACTACAAGCTACACGTACAAAAATCTCCACCTTTTCAAGACACTGAACATGATCCACTACTTTAAAATAGTAGTGTCTCATCAGAATAGCAGTAAAATCCTTGTCCCACTGTAATCAGTGTCCAGGAGACTTTCATAAGATCAACATTTCTCCCCCCCACACTGAGTTTAATTAGCATCTTAACCTAGAAACTACTGGATAAGAATCACAGAGTAAAATTGATTCTCTCAAATCCCACATTTTACTCAGATGAGA